GATGACAAGGGGGCAGGCTTCCGGGGTGTACCCTTTGGTTGTTTGATGATGCATGGAGGGGCTTGTAATCATTGCAATGAAATGAAATACAATACGATGAATATAAAGCTAATATTCTCCCATGTAAACTATCACATAATTCACAATGAAAACTTTTAAAAAAAATTGTTTGCAATGAATCTATGAAGCTTTTTCCACTTGCACAAGAGTAATACTGCTAATCAAATTAACAGTTTCATATTTTTCTGCAAAAAAGGGCACCAAAGAGGCACTGAAATTTTTACCAAGCTAAAAAGTAAAAGAGGTTAGGGATTTACATAAGAATTACTTATTACTAAAAGTTAAGGAAAAAGGAGAAATAAAAAGAGAAGAGAAAAAAGAATGCCTGAAAACACATGAAGAACAAAAATGCTGGTTATAACATAGGTTTTTTTCACTAAAATTATGTTCTTTATGCACAGTGCTTGAGCAACCTAACTAGGTTCTTTAATGTAACCAATCCTAGTGTTTTTATCTGTCCCTGTTACAGCTTGAGAAGTTCATCTTTCCATACCTATATTATGCAGTTGATCTCAAAAAAATACTTTTTTGAGACAACATGCATTGTAGACACAGAAAAACCCAAGTAGCTCATGTACTCTATTTGCATAATATCTTAACATTTAAAATAAAATGAAGATAAATGGAATATGTTCATTCTCATACACAAGTTATTATATTTTTTAAAGTAAAGACCAGAATTTAAAGTAATTGTATTTAAATGAAATCTCCAAAATTATCATTCAGACAAAACCCAAGCAATAACATTTACCATTATTATTTGGTGTGTATAATCACTAAAAGCAGGTAGAGATATTATCAGAAGGTTGATATAGTTCATAGGCATGTTGTAGAAGCAGGAGAGAAACAATAACTTATATACTCGATGATCTCTAAAGTGCCTTCTAACTTGAAAAAAATATGCTATGATTATAAATATTGTTTTAACCTGTTTAGAAAAAAATATTTTGGATAGTGTTCTTCAATTTTCAATATTTAAATGTGTGCCTAATTTTACAAAAATGGAAAGTAGATGAAAATCTAGCAAATATATACCAAAGACACTAAATTGGTTTTAAAGTTATCTATGAGATTAAAATAATAAATGCAAGTTAATTTAAAATATATTTTAAGTTATATTTACAAATTAACAAGGAACATGTATTCCATTTCTTTATGGTAAGAAGAAAAAAGGAAGAGCTTATGAAACTGGAATCACAACTAAGTTCAAATAATAAAAGACAACTAACTAAAGCATACTTTTCTAAGCATCTAACAATTTTAAAACCAGGAATGTTCAACAGAGACAAAGGACTTAGTATGCTTGTGGTCATAGTTACATTTCAATAAAGATCATGCAAAACACAGCTGGCTACCAATAAAATTTTTTTAAAATAAGATGTACCACAATTAGTGTACATAAACAATTAGTAATTCATGCAGCTGTAGAGTACACAGAAAGCTAAATCTACTTACCTACTGGTACGCTATCTAGATCTGTGTAAATAACAGCAAAAAGGGAACAAAAAGCAACACTCCAATCAAAACAGATCCAACGGCAAGAACTCCCATATAAAACAAGATCACTTTCATAAATAAATTACATAGAATAGATGCCATAGCAAACGGTGATTTTACGGCAGATATGCAGAGTAAAGTAAGGAAACCTGAAAGTTGGCTTATATTCTAAATAATTTAAATAACCAATTCAGAAACTTGGCTAATGTTTTTATCTTATGCAGCCTTAAGAAGTAATTGCTTAATGGGATTAAGTAAGCCTTTTTAAATTGGTGATAATTTCTTGGGAAAACAAAAATTACTTCTCTCAAAATTGACACATGCAAATTAAAGAAGGAACAATTAATAAAAGCATAAGTAAATATAGCATCTATTCAGTTTAAGTTATAGGGAAAAAAGGTACAGGATAGCATGCTCAAAGAGCAAAGTTAACCATGCAATATATTTAACTAAAATTTAGTTAAAATTACCTTGTAAAGCATGGCCGAGTAATGCATCTAGCTCAGGATTTAATTCTGCTTTCTCTTTCAACATATGAAATAAGAGCTGGTTTTGTGTGGCACTAGTTATTTCAGTTTGTTTCAGGCGACCTTCAAGTACTTTAATTTGAGCCTCTTTCTGGGCAGCCTGAAGACCCTGCAACAAACAAATTCAAACACAAATACAATTTGTCAGTCATGCAAAACAGACTGTACCACACAAGATCTGTATCAAATAGAAAATGTTTATGGTATACAGACATTGACATCAGCTAGAGCTAGGTTCAAATGCCAGCCCTTCTACTTGTTAGTTTGGTGACCTTGTTACCTATCTTCCTGATTCTCAAATCCTCACTTGTAAAATGATATGAATAATACCTACTTCCTAGCACATTGTGAAGGTTAAATGAGAAGACATAATACAAAGGGTCTAGCAAAGTTCCAAATAGGAAGAACGTAAGTCATAAATGATTATCTTTAACATTTGGGCAGGGATTTCTTACAGGTGATAGATTAAAGCATTTACCTTCAAAGAAGGATTGAACCATATTTTTTTTTCCTTTTAGATTTTCTATTGAGCTCTAAATAATCAGTATTAAACCAAAGTACGATACTAAGTTTATTTGGATTATGAGAGATATTTCGGTCTTTCCTATGTTGAAGCAGGAGTCCTGGTGTAGCGCTGTGGGTTAATGCACCAGACTGCAAGGTTGGCAGTTCAAGCTCATCAGCTGCTTCTCAGAAACCCTATACAGGGTTGCTATGGGTCGGAACCAACTCAACGACACTTAATAACAACAACAAATGTTGAAGCAAGGATCCCTGGTGGCACAGTAGTTGAGCACATGACTGCTAACTGAAAGGTGTACAGTTCAAACCCATCAGGTTTTGACATGGGAGAGCAATACAGCAGGCTGTTTCCATAAAGATTTAAGGTGCAGGAAACTCTATGGGGCATTTCCACTCTGTCCTACAGGAACACTGAGTTGGAAAATCGATTCAACAGCAGACAGTTTGGGTTTTGGTATGTTAAAGAAACAGGGGAATTATTTCTTCTTTCAGTTGTTTATCTGTTCTAATTCACAATCAAAATAGAAGAAACTCAGGAAACAAGAATTAGAAACACTGATCCAAATATTGCTGTCTTTTCTTAAGAAAAGCTTTTTACTAAGAAAGCTAGATGGAACACTTTTCAAATTGAGAAAAGTCCTGTTACTTATTACAAAGAAGGTTCACTAGAGAAAGATACCAAAGCTATAATGAATGAGTAAAAAACTTAGGTGTTCAATAATAGTGCAGGTAAATCTTACCTTATTGATGCCCATTGATAGGAAGTGATCTAGCAGGTATCGGGCTTCTGTGAGTGTGCAAGCGTTAATGACAGCAGTGACATCCAATGTCTCACCTTCTTCCTACATCAAACAGAATATGATGACCATTACTTTGAGCTGGCAGAAGCCACTTGAAAAATTATTCAAGTATTCATTTGACTGTATCAGGTTACCTACTAAGCAGAAAAGTATAAGCCATGATATGATCCCTACCCCAAGAAACATATGGTCTAGCTGAAGAAAATAAGACATATCTGAGCAGCTAAGAATTTAAGGAACAATGGAATAAATGAGGCATGTGTTATACAAACAATATACTATCATAAAACCATCAGGCAAAGCTAAAAGCTACTCTTTAGACTGGAATAGTTAGGGCTCATGGAGTACAATTAAGAATATTGTTGGGTTAATGAAAAGTAACACAAAAATATTTTTAGTTAAGACATTAAGGAAATTATTTTAAAACTACAAACCTTTGCTTCTTCCATTTGCATGATGTTGGCTTGACAATCAGAAATACTGTCATTGATGTAATCTATATTAGCAGTTAGTGACTCCATCTCCTCATTGATGTTAACCACATTTTTATCTCCCTCTCCATTCTCCTTCACTATCTTTTCCCTTCTTTTTGAAAGTTTCTCTCGTCTTTTTGTGAGTTCTTCCCGTTGCTATTGAGGAAGCAGGTTGGATTTTGAGAAATGGCATTCATCTATTCATTCAATGTATAATCAAAGTCAAGAAAACAACATAGTAAATATTAAGTTAATCCAAGGAACACATTTTGAAGAAGTTTGTAACCAACTAAGGAGAAAGATACATAAATTCTATTTTCTATACCTTGAGAAGTCTATTCATATCAGCCTCCATATTGGAAATAGTCATTTTTTGCATGATGATATCTGTGACCCTACGTTCAAGAAGCTGCCACTTCATGCGTGCTGTCTTAGAAGTAAACACTCGGCCAGTCAACCCTTTCCTCTGATATTTTTTTCTATAATCATATAAAAACAGACAAACACAATTACTTATACACTGATGTAATTGTGCACTGCCAAATAATGCATTTTTCATTTAAGTACAACCTTCTAATAATGTCCACAAAGATTATGTCAGGAGGAAATGAAAACTCACATTAACCTGGTTCCATTTGTTGTGGCCGTTGGCAAGGCCTGGACTCTTGCCACAGGAATTCTCATTTTCTGTTGGGCTGCTGCCCTTGACCCATCTGTTTCTGTAGCAGCTGCACTGGAACCTGTGTCTTGAACAGGGGAATCAGATGAGCTCAGCTTCCGAGAGACTTTTCCAGCCACTTTATCTGACATGGGCCTTACTTGCCGACGAAGAGCTGTGACCTAAAACAGCAACCGAGTGTAACTCATTCCCTCAGTCTACAGAAATACACCATTTATCTCAAAGTCAGAATGTCTCCCCAAAACAGTCAATTTGATCACACTACCTCTTCCGTTTTGCGACGAAGAACCACTTCTTGATTTCTTTTTTGGGCTTCCAGAAGTCTAAGCTGATGCTACCAAAAAAAAAAGTATTGAATAAGTTGAAATAGTAAACTGAAAGACATAATGCTCTTAGTTCCTACTCTTACATTAATAAATATTCTTATCCCCCATAAAACTGCAAGGATTCTTAGCAGAGAATGACTTAATTTCAACCTTGCATCTATTATTACAGATGTTGGTATTTTATTCCAACAACACACATACACACATTCTGGCATTAAATAAAATATTTATCTTGGTACCACATTGTTTTATGTAACAAATACTTACATAGTGTTTACTATATTCAGGTAAGGAGTGCTGGTGGTGCAATGGGCCAACTTCTGGGCTGCTAACCACAGGGTCAGATGTTTGAACCCACCAGTCACTCCATGGGAGAAAAATAAGACTGTCTGCTCCCATAATCGTCTCAGAAACCCTAATTAGCATTTCTATTCTGTCCTATAGGATGGGTTGGAATCAACTCAATGGCAGTGGGTGTTGTTGTTATTGTTACACAAAGGTACTGTTCTAAGCGCTTTACAAATATTGCTTTATTTAATTTTTGTTAAATATTTTGTTTTAGTTGCTGGCTGAAGGCACACACACACAAAAAAAACAGTACAAATTCCATTATCATTGGTCATACTGTTGGCAGAAACACAGCTTTGAGTATTTTCCAGAGATATTATAACATATATATAATAATTATAAACCCTATTTTAAATATAATGTATACTAATAATATTAACACTTTACAATAACTTTGGGAATGTGATTATTGCAGGTAATGTAAATGGGCAATAAGGCATTTCTATTTAATAGTAATTGAACATGTGTGGATTTTGGTATTTTTGTGGGGCTGGGGAGGGGATACTGAGAAAGAACTACATAGACTTATATCTCTATATCTCAATTTTTACAAATAGCACTGCGGGGCAAAAATAATAGATAATGTATTAAAATGTGCTTATACTTGATTTCAGTAGGAATATGTTGTTGTTTTTATGTGACTTTTAGTTGATTCTGACTTGTAACAACCCTGTTTGGGTTTATGAGGAGTGGCTGGTGAATTTGAACCACCGACTTTGTGATTCAAATTCACTTTTCAGTTCAATGCATTATCCCACCATACCAGGACTCCAATAAGACCATACTGGTATAAATATAATCTATAATGCTCAGAAATTAAATATGACAAACTGAACCATTAAAAGACATTGATGTGCAGGGATCACATTAGAAGGTCCTGGACAGAATGGGAGAAAATGTGGAACAAAACTCAAAATTATATTTAAAAAAGACTTGGCTCACTGATCATAAAGAAACTGGAGGAATCTGAGACCAATGCCCTTGGCCACCTTCTAAAACAGAACTCATCCTCGTGGACCAATGTTCAGTTAAGCAGTAGATAAGTATATGGAGGGGCAACAACACTAGTAAAATATCGTCTCCATGGAATAGTCAACCATTCCAGATCAAGAAGGGCAACATTTACCTAGGGACAAAGTTGAGAAGGGATGGAAAGGAAGGTAGAATGGAACTCAAAACCACAGGCAGGAAATGGAGTAACTGTTGTTACATGCAATCACTGACATAAAACAAAGTATATGAGATTTGGAGGTAAAACTGATGATCTTCTCTGTAAACCTTCACTCAATTTGCAACAAAAACTTGCAAAATAATTTTTTAAAGAATATTGATGTGGTCGAAAAAAAAAATCAGTAAATCATAGTCATAAACCTAAACAATCTATTCACAATATATATTCTATATTTTGTCATCCTCATCCATCTTCTTCTTTATTTTGTCTTTTTACCTCCCAAAGTGTATTTCCATTTTCTAAAATATGCTCCAAGTCTCTATATTTTTCAGGAAAGATTCAGAAAATATGAGCAAAAAAAAAAAAAAGGGAACAGTGATAGGAACCTAACTGATACCTCTTTTTAAGTAAAAAAAAAAAAATAGCATAAATAGAATTTTCTCCTTTTAAAGACATTACTAAAATTTGGAATAATGAAAGAAAAACCTCAACCATAACATGTATAACCCTAACACAACTACAATCAGCATATTGGTGTATATACTTCAAAATCTTCCCCAATTTTAATCACTTATTAAACGCTATTTTATACTGAGTATTTAATCTTAGGTATTTTTCCATAGTTTCCAAATCCTTATTTTGAATGGATGAATAAGAATCCACTAATGAGATGGACCATAATTTATTTAACCATTCCTCCTACAATGAAGCATTTTAGCTATTTTACATTTCTCACTGTTATATATAATTCTGAAGTAAAGATTTTAACAAATAGTAATTTTTCTTGTTTGGTTTATATTCTTAACCTAGATTCATGGGAGTGGAATTCTTGAGTCAAAGTATATAAAATTTTTCACAGCTCTTGGTAAAGTTTCTTCTAATGAGGCTGTTAATACTCACAGAAATATATGCAATAGTCTCAAGTGATGAAATTATGTTTGGGACCATACTAAAATTACTATCTCATATAATAAATAGTTACTAAGTTTCTCTTGGGAAAACCAGTTTCTTCTATCTTGTCATTAAGTAAATGTCTCAAATAAAATTTATAATAATATCACACTATTTCTTATAAACTTTTATATTTAATTACTATAATCTACATACTATAATAAATGCCAAGTTAATGTTTATTATCTTTAATGCCAATGAAGTGTTGTAGCTATCAAGAAGTTGTCTTCTATTTATTAAGCAATCTTGTCAATTTCCATTATTCTTATATGTTGTTGTTTAAGGTATTGTGATAATGATTTTCCACTCATAGCAATACCCTGTGACAGACTAGAACTGTGCCACACAGTTTACTTGACTCTATCTTTATGGGATTAGATTGCCAAATCTTTCTCCCATGGAGCTGCTGAGTGGGTTTGAACTACCAGCCTTTCAGTGAGCAGCTGAGCACTTAACCACTGCACCACCACTTTATTCTTATGTAACTAGAAGTTAAAGTCCACTCACATCTCTCTTACGTTGATCCTTTTTCAACTGGGCAATCTCTCTGTTTCTTCTAGACTCTGTCAATCTGGCCTTCTCTTGTTCTTCTTTCATTTGTTTCATTAGGCGAACCTAAAAAAATTAGTCATATATATCTATTGAAATTACTCTACCACAGTACTTATTAAATAAAGGACAAATATGGAAGTAAATTCTTAGAATTTTGAGCACTTAACATGGTGATGTGAGTTTTGACTCACACCTTAAATGCTCAATTCTTAGTTTTGCATATATATTGCAGAAACTTTATTTCTATCCAAGTACTTAGTGTACAATTTATACTTTTTATATTCAATTGTTAGTTGTTCCATAATTCAATGAACTTTTGCTACATAACTTATCATTAGAAATTATGTGACCTTGAAGAGTAACTTACCCTCTCCCAGTTTTGGTTTCCTCATCTATAATAGCTCTACTGTTATTACTGTGAGGATTCAATGAGTTCATATCTATATAGTGCTCATGACAGTGCTTGGCACATGGTAAACACTTAGTAAATATTATTTATTATTGCTGTTGCTATCAGCAACTACAAAGTATAAAACTTATTTCCAAATTTGCTACTTTAGAAAACTGAACAGATGTCAGTTACGAGTGATCGATTTTACAATAAAAACAGTTAACAGATCAGGATTCAAATATTCTCTTTGATCAGAGAAAGAAAACTTGTATTTTTCTGTGCATGGGAATAAACAATAACAAATTCAGGATTTGGAGACTGAGCAGGAAAGGATCTACTGGGAACTTTAATCCAAGTGTATCTGTCATGTTAATTTATTAAATTTGATATGTACACAGTATTCATTATGTTATTATGTATGTATATTATATGTTTAAAATAGTTTGTACTTTTGTCAACCTTATACAACAAAGGTTTTTAAAGGAGAAATAATAGTCATCTGAATTCCTGATGACTACATGATTTCAGCTACTCAGAAGGCAGACTTTGATGATGGATAACTACATTCATTAAATAACTTTTAATTGCCAAAGGGAAGTACATCCTTTATATATATATAACAGAAAGCCTGAGTTACCTTTTATTAAATATGGAAAGTGCCATGAAAATTGCTGTTTTTTGTCCTAAATGACACAAACATTCTCAGTTTCAAATATTACTGGAAAATGTAATCAATACCTTTGTCTTTTTCATTTCCATCACATCCTGTTGTAATTTTTTCAGCTGCTTTTCATACTGGGATTGGTTTTTGAGCAGCCTTGCATGTTCTTTCTGGGCCGTCTGAAGTCTCTGCAGTTCCTTATTCATGGCTTGGAGTTTCTTTTCATATTCAGACTTAACTTTTTTTGCTTTTTCTTCTGAATAAGATTCCACTGAGCCTAAATGACCAAAATACTTGCATTTGTTTTGTATGAGATATGGATTTTTATTTCACAGACTTGTAATTTGTGACCTTAGAGAAGTGTTACCTCCCAAACACCAAACAAAAACCTCAATTACTCTTTTATTATCTACTATTCTCTGGCTTAATGATTACTGAAGTGGTCTTCTCAAATTTTATTTTTAAAAATCTGAAAATATTAAAATAAATAGCCATGACCCTGGAGAAAATAATTAAATAGTCTATACTGGTACTAGTCTGAAAACAAAACAAAAAATAATATTTAACCTATTGAGACAAAATGCCATTCAATATGATTTCTAAACATGGCATCGACTCAAGGACACTGGGCTTCAATGTATTTGTTTTGTTTTCTTTATGTGGTTTCTACCATTAGTGTTTTTCTGAAAAGGAAGAGAAGATAAAAAATCATCTTGACAATTTCGTGTGAACTTTCACTTGAATTAAAGATAATTCTTACCTAAGTTTTGAAGCACTTGGTCTCTTTCAAGCTGAGTGTCCCTAATTTTATGTTGCAGCATCATTAGCTTCTCTTCATACTGCTTTTTCAGCGTCTGCAGTCTTTTTTGGCTGTTCTCTAACTCATCAATCAGCTTTTGCTTGATTGCAATTTCACAAGTAATGTTTGCTAAGTCGGCTTGATAATTGGCTATTTTAAAAAAAGAAGGAGAAAGTAAAAATACTGAAAATAGGTCAAAATATCATAGTTCTAGCTTTAACCACTGCAAGCAAAAGCTCAAAAACCATCATCTACATCCAAAAATGAACTTGACAGCTATAAGAAAAATGCCCTGGAAAACCAGAAAATGAAAAGGTATGTAAGATTAAGAGTACCCACATTGATTAGGAACAACTCATAGTAATTGTATTAAATAAGAATAGAAATCACACAATTACTAAATCTAATAAGGGAAGAACCTTTTCATTTGCCTTGGAGGGCAAATCTAAGTCAGTAGTTACAAAGGCTGTTTTTCCTATTTCCTAGAAATTCCACTCCTAGGTATATATCCAAAAGACTTCAAAGACAATTGTACATCTATGTTGTCACTATAAGATAAGCACTGGACTGCTAACCACAAGGTTGGTGATTCAAATCTACCAACTGCTCCTCAGAAACCTTATATAGGGTAGGTAATGATAGGAAGATTTGACAGCATTTAACAACATGTTAATTGCAGCACTATTCACAATAGAAAAATGGTGGAAACCTATTTAATATTATTAATATTTATCAACAAATAAATAGATAAACAAATGTAGCACATATATACAGTGGAATGTCGATAACAGAAGAGAAGTCTTGCTACAGACTAAAATATGGATGGATCTTAAAGACTGCTGAATGAAATAAATTAATCATGAAAGGGCAAATATTGTAATAATTCATTGAAATAAGACAAGAAGTGGCAAAGGAATAGAGATCAAAGTTGCTTAGTGGTTACAAAGGGTAGGCGGCGGAAAGAGGGAATTAGGTTTATAGTGATGTAAAAATTGTATTAAGAATATGGTTCCACGGTTGATTAAGGTAATTTCTCTCAATAAGTAGTATACCAGTAAAAAGTTACATTGACAGTCATGTGTGATTGATATATTTACAAAACTAAGAACCAAAAAACTGGAGCTGCTGAGGCCCCTTATACACCACCCAAAACTTCATGACTTCAGCTCCTTGATTTGGAGGTTTAGGGACAGGGTTTCCTGGGACATCCAGTTAACTAGCTGAATAACATATTCAGTGCTTCTATTCTACCTCCTCATTCATTCCTCAGTGCAACCTTAAACCATAAACCAAAAATATCCCCTGATGTCTTCTTAAAAACAAACAATAGTTTAACTTTAGTTTTCAAAAAAAAAAAGTCTGCCTTGAGTATAGTGCTCTTTTAAGATCTATCTATATGGAATCAAATGGACATCAGCAAGTTGAAAGATCAGATAAGAAACTTAGGCAGCAGTACATTCATCTTAATGGGGGTGGAACAACCTGGAGAGGAAAGGTATGAATGAGAGCACAACTCAGAGAACTCAATCAATGTCACTTCACTGTACAAGTAGAAATTGTTGAATTGCTGTATGCTCTGCTGTACACATTCTCAACCACAACAAAATTCACTTTTTTTAAGAGAAGCTGATTTCAACAAAGATAAAAGGGAGAACATTAAGCATTTTCTGTCATAATTTAAACAAATTTCCAAAATGAATTTTATGTGTTAAAGGGCAAGTACCTTTTTCATCTGATTCAGAATCTGATTCGTCAGAACTTTCACCCCCTTCAATGTCATCTTCCTCATCATCATCTTCTTCTTCCTCATCCTCATGATCACTTACTTCTTGACCTTCTTCCTAAAATGTGAGTTGTAACAATAACACAATATTGTCAAAGAAAATTGAATAACTGCTCAACTACAAAAGGACAAAAATTTTGTCCTTTTTAATCAATTAAAAAAATCATTCCTGGATTTTAAAGTCATTGTATACCTATTTTGTCTTAAGCACTACTTTATCTCTCATAATTTATCTACCACCTTCCCTTCATCCTCACCAAATGCTTTCATAATACACAAGACTGAGAGTTGCTAATATCTTATTGCTCACGTTTCTGAGGGGAAAAAAAGGTCCTCAAAGAAATAAGTTTATATTATGTGCATGCTAACTATCTTCCCTTTCTGCATTTAAATTTGCACAGTTATTTGCAACTAAGGACAACTTAATCCAGTGAGATTAACATTTACAAATCCATTCTTTCATACTTACCACTTCTAATTCATTGTTTTCTCTTTCTAAAACACCTTTTTCTTCTTTCTTCTCTTGGTCAGTGTCAGTATTATCCTCTTTCCCAGTTACACTAAAAAAAGAAACATAAGCATATGGTGTTAAATTAGAGAAGAAAATTATTCAGTTTTTCTCTCCCAGAGTTTTTAAAACTGTCAAATATTTGTGAAAACAAACAAAATGAATCAATCACTTGACTGGAAAAAAATGATAATATCTGATGTTTCAGAGGAACACAGAAATCATCATTCAATCAATTTTGCAGTAATTTATTTCATGGGAGAAAAGCTTATTCTCTAGGGACACTGACGCATAGATTAAATCCTGAAGCATGAGACCTACTGTGGCAGCTAAGAACCAGTCATAGTAATGGCCAAGTGACTGGAACCTAAACGAATCTAAACTCAGGGGGAAAACAAAAGTCCAAACAAAGAAAGCATTTTTGCTTTCAAATCTTTCTCACCTAAATACAAAGGATAAGAAGACTCTACTTTCATTGATATCCAAATAATTTTAAGAATAACTATAAACAAGGAAGCAAAAGAAATCTGCCAGGGAAGGGTGTCTACACTAGCTGTATCCATTGGACTGTCCAAGTCTCTTTCCAGTTTAGCAGAGCCTCTTTGTTCTCAGGCTATCCCTACAATCCAAGGTTTATTCCCATTACAGTCTCACTAAAAAGAGTCTTTGCATCCCCAAACTTCTTTGATTGGGTAAGAAATTTCAGGGCCTGCCTCAAGGTTTGCTGTACAATTGGAAACTCTACCCTTCAGTTATCTAGTACCCACAGGCATAACTACAGAAGTACCAGGGAATGGTTACAGCTAAAGTAATTCAACCCTGGTCGCCCAGCATGACTCTGAAGTGAGTAAAACTTTTCTACAATCAAATCACACTGATTCTTTCTGGGTTTAGCAACTGTGATCAATTATGCATGTGAGTTAGTTACCCTTATGTTCACTGGAATCATACATTTAATCATTCATACATCTAATCAAACTAAATAGTATCAAGAAAGTATGCTTTAGATGGAATCGTTATATGTTTTTTGTGCTATGATAATTTTTTTATTTGCTATGGCTATGCAAATAACACAATATTCTCCAAGTGAAATTCCCCTAGAAAGAACTGTACCAAAATAGACTGATTACAGCTACCATTTGTTTCAGATATTCTGCTATATTTCCCAATATGCTAAATTTCCAAAATTTTATTTTACATAGGCCTTGTACTTGGTCTCATCTTTGAAAAAAAAAAAAAATTCTAGTGGTTTAATTTAATTTACATATTATAGCCTTTGGGAATGGAGTCCTGGTATGGCGCTATAGGATAAGTGCTGGACTGCTAACTGCAAGGTTCACAGTTCAAACCCACCAGCCACTCTTCCTGTGAGTCAGAACCTACTTGACGGCACTTAACATAAACAAAAACAACATAGCCTTTGGGGAAATTAAAATGCTGATTTTAAAGTAGTTTCTATTTTTAAATGTGAACAAAATGTTCAATAATATGTTCTAATGGGGCAAGTAATACAACTTGAGAAAGCAATACTCAAGAAAGGAAAGGAATCTACAAAAGCAAATTATCTAATTTTCATTTGGATAGTATACATATTTATATGGTATGGAAGTAATCAATTCATGTTCTTTAGGGAAGAAAGGAAAGGAGAGCATTAAGGCTATTTTAATTTGTACTTTTTACCCCTGGATAGGGGAGCCTATCAAATTAGCTTGACTATAACTACAAAGGTGATACTATATCCTTTGCTAAACACATATAATGATGAGCTCTGGTAGCATAGTGGTTACGAATTGGGCTGCAAACCTCAAGGTCAGCAATTCGAAACTACCAGCTGTTCTGCAGGAGAAAGATGAAGCTTTCCGCTCCCATAAAGATTTATAGCCTTGGAAACCCGGTACAGGGTCACTGTAAGTCGGAACCGATTCCACAGCCCATAACCACCAACCACCAACCACCAACCACCAAACACATATATTAAAAGCCTAAGCACTAGGCCTGCTTTAAAGAGCTTTTGCAATGATTCACCTGTTTAAAAAACAACAACAACAACAAAAACTTGGTATATTATAAAGTACCCTATAAATGTAAGACACTGTAATAATAATATAGCAATATTAAATGAGCCCTCCCTACGTTTAACCAAACACTACCACAAAAACTCTAAGGATTCACTTTAGGGCACTATTCTCACAGACAGCTGAAAATCTAGAAAGAAATTCCTCTTTCACTCAATCGTCTCATTAACAAGCCAGCACCATGCACTCAAACAGCGCTATACTTGGGATTTAGGCATAAGGTTTAAGGGTAGCTAGGAGAGAAGAAGGTTTTAGGTAACAAAAGTAGAAAAGGCAAACACTCTACACTGCTTTTGTCCAGCATGTATCTCCTTTTAGCTCTCCCAGCACCCACCATTATGCACTTTATTTTCCTCATACACTGCTGCTACAGCATACATATTTCTGTATTGTTGGATCCTTTGTTACTTCAAGTCCCAACTCAAATCTCTTTTTACTCAGGCTTATACATACAACCACTTTATTTTGAACACTTGATCTTACCTATCCTCTTGCTCCCTGGATGTCACCAATATCCAGCTAACATATGATACTCTTCACTTAGCTATTAACTCATATGTTATAAGTTGTTCATGCCACTTTCTGATGTAGAAAAATCAGCCATTCATTCTAACTTTACATTATTCATTTACCTTTATTAATCACTTTTAAGACTTGTAATTTCAAAAATATAAATTGATACTTAATAATTATTATACAGGCAGTCCCTGGATTAGGAATGAGTTCTGTTCCTAAGGCTGTTGATAAGTGGAATTTGTATGTAACTTGGAACAGTTGAGTACGGCTCATCTCTAACATCAATTAGTCAAATGTTAACTTTAGTTATACAGTGTACCTTTATATGCATACCAGAAGCTCTGGTAGCATAGTGGTTACGAGTCAGGCTGCCAACCTCAAGGTCAGCAGTTCAAAACTACCATCTGTTCCGCAGGAGAAAGATGAGGCTTTCTGCTCCCGTAAAGATTTACAACCTTGGAAACCCTGTACAGGGTCGCTACGAGTCAGAACAAACTCCACGGCACATAACAACAACAACCACATATGCATTAAAAAAACTAAATACTTACAGATAGAATAAATACATCCATAATATAATATAGAACTGTAGGAAAAGCACTGGACTACTAATCGCAAGGTTGGTGGTTCAAATCCACCAGCCCCTCCTTGGAAACCCTATGTTGCTGTTGTTGTTAAGTGCCATCGAGTCGGTTCCAACTCATATTAACCCTGTATAGGGTTTCCAAGAAATGGCTGGTGGGTTTGAACTGTCAACCTTTCAATTAGCAGTCCAGTGCTTATCCTACAACATCACACCAATGTACTACACAAGGGCCACAGTGAGCCGAAACCAACGTAATGGCCCTTAACAGTAACAACAATAATATTGCTTTAATGCACAGGCACAAAGTTAATGCCCATTTGTTATGATGAACGACTGTACGTACCTTGACGTTTTAATATAATAGGCTTTACGGAGTTAATTTACAACTATAGGTTGTACGTAAGTTAAGACATTCCAGCCTTTGGTAACCCAGGAACTGCCTGTACCTTAAATATTCAAGTTTCCCTCATTAAACTGAGACAAGTTGATATCTAAAATAGCTATATAAACAGCAAAGAAGATCCTAAGCTTGCACTTTAATACATACATAGAATCAGAATCTTGGAGCCAGAAGGAATATTAGTAATCATGTGGTTTAACCCCTTCATTTGACAACCAAAAAAGAAACTGTGGCCTGGGAAAGTTAATATACTCAAGTGGACTAAAACCAGCTGTCCTGACCTCCAAGCCAGTATTCAAGAAGCTTGCACTCAAAGTTCAGTCCACAGTCCGGGAAGTATCCGTTTTATTAAGGAGTTTGTTAGGAATAAAGAATTTCAGGCTCCATCTTAGTCCTACTAAATCACAAGCTTCACATTAGCAAGATTCCCACATGACTTGTGGGCACTTATGATTAAGAAGTATTGTCCTAGAACATCAAACTACTCTGCTTTGGTGATCCTTTAGAATAGTTGTAAAATTTGAAGTTATTTACTATTTTCTACTTATTAAGTACATTAAAGGACTTGAATAGTTTCAGGTGGAAGAATACTTCCACATACTACTTTAACCATGCCTCTAATTTGACCTTCTGAAATAGAAGAAATCTCATTATTTTAATGCCTTAATTTAATATGAATGACAAACCTAATGTTCCAAATTTATACATGTGGCTTGTAGCAGACCTAGTAGAATTACAATGAATCTTGTGAGAGCCAGAATTCGTGAGACTGCCTTGTTTTATCAAGATCTCTTCAGCTTTCTACCTTTGACAGGGTACAGTCTTACTACTTTTCTATTACTTGTTTTGGTGGAAAAGATTTGAATTTTTCTTCTCTGACAAGTTTCGAATCCTTGCACCGGTTCTGGCTTTTACAGACTCTACTATACATTCTAATTGTTTGCTGCTGTTAAGGGCCTTCAAGTCCTTACAGGGTTTCTGAGGCTTTATATTCTTTGTAGCAGCACAAAGTGTCACCTTTCTCCTGAGGAGCAGCTGGTGGGCTTGAACCACTGACGCTGTCGTTCGTAGTTCAGTGCTTATCGAATACAGCCACCATGCTCCCATTTTAATTACAAAATACTTTTAAAAAGTTGTAGGATATAATTATAGAAACTCTAGGACACTACGCAATATATATAATTGCTGTTGTTGTTGAGTGCCATCGAGTTGGTTGCAACCCTGTATAGGGTTTCCGAGGAGCAGCTGGTGAGCTTGAACCACCAATCTTGTGGTTCAATCTAATTTTGCAGTCTAGCACATTAACCCACAGCACCACACCAGGACTCCTAGATATAATTATGTATATATATATATATATATATATATAACCATGAAATTTAGATTATAGAATAGTTTAAAGAAAACATAACCATTAGCTTTCAGATATTCCATGTATAATACTAATTTAATGTATTACTGCCTAGTAAAGTTTCTCAAAATATTTACTGTGAGTAAGAGGTGAAATCTCTTAAAGGATGCTTCTAAAACACTTAAGTATTATTTGGAAGTTAGTTTTCTTATCTTAAACACCTTGTGTATATAATCTGGAGGTTTCAAAAAATATATGAAAAAAATTCTGATAACATGAAACAAAATAATAACTGATCCTTGCATGTTGTTGTTGTTAAGTGTCACTGAATTTGGGCTCATAGTTGAAGGCTTCTATATAAAGTTTCAAAGGAGCAGCGGGTCGGTTTGAACCATTGACTTTCTGTTTGGCAGTCCTGTGCTTATCCTACAGCTCTACAATTCCAAATTGTTAAAATTCAGAAATTTACTATTTGGAGAATTCAGAAATGTGCTTCTAAATCTTACTCAAATTTCAAATGAAAAAAAGAAAAATAGAAGAACATCCTTGTAACGCTCTTTGCTCATTCCCAATACATTTTAGAAGTAAAAACTGTTTTTCTAATCCAACCGTGAGAATGCCTTGTAAATCTTATCTATAAAAAGGCCACAGTTTCTTTTGTTTTGGAGTCATCTATGATTTTCTCCAACAAAGATTACACTAAATAAAGAAGAAGAGACTAGACAGATGGCCACCCGTGTGCTGTCAAAAAATGCCAATTCCCACCCAATTAATAATTCTCAGTCTGCTCACAAGTTTCTGAAGACACAGAAGCAATGAGTTGTCAAATGTTATTTTCAGTCATCTTTAGCCTAAAAAAGGCAAATCACCCTCAAAATTATGATAGTTTACTTGAACATAACATGAAATTGCTTCTAATTCATGTAACTAGTAAGGGTTTTATTCTTAAAGAGCAATGTTGTTTTGATATCTAAAATCATCATTACTTTTAGGAGCATCTGGATAATCTAATCTGACACAATTTATAATTCTATAACACATTTCTTCCTGAATGGCAACTAAGTATTTACATGACAATTTAATTTAAAAACCTGGGAAATATTCCAACCTTATTTCTTCTCGATTGCTTTCCTCAAGTTTCTGTAGCCTTCAAAATCACGAGGCACAGTATTGGAAGGCCAAGCCAATGAAGGACAAACCAGACAGTAAAAAGCGAAAGTGATAAGAAGGTAAAAATGACACATGAGCTTGAAGACTTTAAAATAAATTTTAAAAGATCTCATTAAAGACAATACAGAGTAAAAAGGCAATACATTTTGTATGAATAAAAAGTACGCAGAAAAACAAGCAGCATTATATCTAAGAAGAGTATCAAGACTATTGGTTCAAATTATTCAACAGTAAATTGTACAACCTCTACTTATATGTTTATAAGTAATAGCAGTGTTTGGATGCCATTTTTTTTTTTTTTTTTTAAGTCTGAAATGGAACAATTATCTTAGTTCCCCTCACCCAAAATTCCACTTTCCTTGGTATCCTCTTCCTTTTAAACCTTTACAAAAGATGATTCAATGGCATCATTAAAACAGCATCAAAAAGTAATGCCTTTATACCACAGTATGATAACACCACTAACACTATAGACTAGGACACTACTTTTAAATTTTAATTTGCTATTTTAATATACTATATGTAAATATAGCTAAATCTAAGAAAAAAATCCTACTTCAAAATTATACATGAAATTATATCATGGAAAATGAAACTGGTTGTTATGGTATCAGTGAAAAACTATAGTTTTATTAATTGAAAATAAAATCTCATAATATTGGGATTGTAGATTTTATTGTACTCGTAAGAATGAACTAACTAGCAAAAGGATATAACTAAGGCAAAGATGGCATTAAAATGGGAAATGTAGTACTTTCCATTAGTAGACTGTTTTTAATAAGGAAAAGTATGTAATAAAGTCATAATATGCAGTTCTGGTCTTAGAGATATATTTTAAAGAATATTCAATAAACAAAGTTGGAAACTTTTACTGAATGTAATATACTGAACACCAGTATGTGCCTTGTAGACATAAAGGTAGATGTGCAGGTTCTTTTTCAAGCATATCAGTAATTATAATATAACGCTTCTCAAAATTCCAAAATACTTCTCAAAATTATCAAATTTTTAAATGAAGCAATTTCATCCAAGTATAAATTTAAATGAAGAGATTACATCCAAGGTACAAATTATTTTTTCAAGTAGTTCTCCTCACTTCCATTTTAAAGGATGTGCATTCACATATGATTTTTATTGTTTTGTTGTTTGTTGACCTATGTTTTTCTCAATCAGTTCATGCTGCTATTACAAGAGATTTAGCACTGTCTCGGAGAAATAAGTCTATAAAGTGATATTCATCAGCACAGTAGTTAGAAAGGGAAGAGTAAAGTCATCAGCTAAAAAATGTGTGTTTCTGAGTTTCAACCCAACAACACTAAATACAAATATAGTGCAGTCTGAGGGATAAGTCACAGTTGGATATTTCAAGTCATTTAAAGCTAGATATTCAAAAATGCAGTGTTTGATGTGTAACTTTTCTTTATATAAACACACCGAAGTTCCAATTTTTAAAAATCTAATCTAGGTTTATACCAATAAGAATGACCTTCAGTGAATGCCTCAGGATAAAGAACCTAAATTTTCTATTTTCAATAGGGAGAATTTTTGCTCACTTACCATGCTGTTGTTAAGTGCTATTGAGTCAATTTCTGTACATAAAAAAGTTATATTAAAATGTTTGGCTGAGACAAGCTAACAAGTAGATACTTAGATATTACTTTAAAACTTTAGATGCTTCCCAATTGCCTCCTCAAAAAATATTGCAATCTACAGTTCCCACCAGCTGTTCCTCATAAACCCTATACAGGGTTGCTATGAGTCAGAACCAACTCTACAGCACTTAATAATAAAAACCTAGTTTAAAAAGAGACTTGGGGGGTGGTTGGGTAAGAGGTAGAACAGAGAAATAAACTAATAAACTTCTGACATCTCTCCACATTGTAAAGGAGTTCAGTTTTTATTTCACTTATTTCTATTATAATTTTGTTTCTATATGAAAAAAATAAGAGTATGATAAATCTTACCAATTATCCTAACATTTGTATAACTGAAAAACAGGCAATAAATTCTATTCAGTTATTCAGGTTAATAGATTAATAATCACGTGATGCTTAGTACTTCCTCATATTCTCACTATGTATCTATACCTTTGAGATCCTGGTGTGGTGCTGTAGGATAAGCATTGGACTGCTAACCACAAGGTCAGTGGTTGAAATCCATCAACCACTCCTCATAAACCCTATACAGGGTTGCTATTTGCTATGAGTCAGAACAGACTCAACACTACTTAACAGCAAATAAGCCCACAAGAGTTTGAAAAGCAAATCTTAACACATACTTGTTGTTAAGTGAGGTCAAGTCAGTTCCAACTCATAGTAACCTTGTATAGGGTTTCTGAGGGGCAGCTGGTGAGTTTGAACAACCAACCTTGCAGTTCAAACCAACCTTGGGTCCAGTGCTTATCCTACAGCACTACACCAGGACTCCTACCACATACTAGCAATTAGTTTTATCTCTGATAAAGGTTTAAATGCAGAAGATGTAGAAGTTTTTGTGTAAAACAGAATTTGCACATCCTCTTTAAACAGTTTGATTTACAAGTGACGTACTGTCCACTCTTTTTGCCAACTCTTACATAGTCAGAAGTTCTGTAGCTACTACAACTTAAATCAACAAAAACACAAAGCAATGTAAATTAAAAGTCATGGAGTTTCTGAAGAATTTGTAGATTGAATGGGGAGGAAAGGAAGCAGCTATGAGAGCTGGACATCTTAGGAGAGTTAAAGCCAAAGATCAATCCTCAGATAAGTTTTAGAAACTCTCAAGCAAAAAAAAGCAAAGGGAAACTATCTTCTCTAATGCTTGCTGTTCTTTTGCTGTTGATTTTATCATTTTTTCTTCTTCTTCATTAGGTGGTTATTGTTATATGTCATCAAGTCAGCTCCAATTCATAGCAATCCTGTATAGGGTTTTTGAGGAGCAGCTGGTGTATTTGAACTGATGACCTTGTGGTTATCAGTCCTGTGCTCATCCTACAGCACCAGACCAGGACCCTACACATAGTTGAAATAAGCCAGAACCATGTGGATTAATGGCATCTTTTTTTCAAAATTATAAATGTTCTAGAAAAGAAACTTAATGTTTGCCAGTCATTTCCACTGGTATGCATTCCTCTAATCAGATGGTTTTGCTTTTGTTCAACCATTTAGCAATGGGAAGTACTTCAGAATGGAACAGAAGCACGTGAGAACTGGACTGTATGAGGCGCCAGGCAACATAGGGACAAGGAGATCAGTAGAAGGGAATCAGAAAGAATACCAAAGGTAGACATTCACATTTTTCTTGAAGACTGGCCTACATTCATGATAGGGAAGGAAGGGCTCTTCCCCCGCCCTTTGTCTTTTCCTACTCGCTCCTGAGTTGCTTTGACAATGCAATATAACAAGTAAAAATCATTTCACATGAATGAGACAGGATACTTGGCCAGCAGGTACTTGTAACATTTTGTAGAGAAAAAAATTAGTCAAAAGTTCCAAACAATTAGATTTTAATTGAATTTGCTGGATGGATAAGGTTGAGGCAGAACTTTTGCAATACCCTATCTGAAAATAAAATAGATCTATATGAGGCAAATAATATTAACCTAACCAGAAAGATGAGGCTTTCTGCTCCCATAAAAATTTACAACCTCAGAAACCTTGTACAGGGTCGCTATGAGTTGGAACCGACTCCATAGCACATAACAACTACCAGAATCAAAAAGAGTTACTGAGGAAGACTGAGTGCTAATTTTAAGAAATCTACTGTAATTCTAAAGACTTCTGGAACTCTTTGTTTATTATTTGTTGTTTGTTTTAGTGTGAAGCAAAACCTTTTGCTAAAGTGATAGTGTATCTACATTTTAAAAGAGAGACATTAAAAGTAAACCCATTACTGTAAAGTTGATCTGATTCACAGTGATCCCATATGACCCATATGGTTTTCCAAGGCTGCACTCTGTAGGGGATGCAGCTGGGAGTTTGAACTACCAACCTTTTGATTAACAGCCAAGATTTTAACAACTGTGTCACCAGATCTCTTAGAATGATGGAAAAATGCAGTATCCAATATTATAAAATAGTATCAGTTTTCACTTTTTAATTCACTGTGACATTTTACAATAGTGTGGTTTGACTACAGTTTAATAGAATTTATAAATTTTACAAATTTATATATGTAGTAATATAAGTTTAGCATAGTAGGTTGCAAGTTGGGCTGTTAACCAAAAGGTCAGCAGTTCGACTCTACCAGTAGGTCCACGGCAGAAAGATGAGGCTTTCTGTTCCCGTAAGCATTCATAGCCTCAGAAAGCCTATTGTTGTTGTGAAGTGCCCTTGAGTCGGTTCCAACCCATAGCAATCCTTTATAGGGTTTCTGAGGAGCAGCTGGTGAGCTTGAACCACCGACCTTACAGTTCAAACAGCTTTGCAGTCTGACGCATTAACCCACAGCACCTATACAGGGTCTCTGAGAGTCGGAATCAACTTGATGGCTCTTAACAACAGCAACAGTAACCTAAGTTTATAAATGGAATCCAAAACTTTTATAATTATATAAAATTTTTCTCTAATTTATAGAAAAAAATCTGTACTTATAGAAAAAAAATTTTCGAGTGTCACACTACATTATATAAGTTTCAGTTTTACAAATGTACACTACAGGATATAAAACAAATGCTTTTATAAAACATGTTTATTAAGCATTCTAAAGAGTTAAGAGCTTTCAGCATGCATTAGCTTTTCCAATTCTAAGGTTTCACTTCTGATCAAGTTTATTATTTTTATTCTCACAATTTAAAAAAAAAAATGTTATATCACTTTTTGTTAGGAAATAATTTTCTGTACTTGGATTTTTACGTGTAAATCCAAGTGTTTGGTGAATTCTCAGTATTAGCATCTACTATTATTTTTATCATAACAATTATTCCAGCTACCATTATCACTAAAATGGCCACAGTTTTTCACTTTGAAATAACTGCTGCTAAATGTACGTATTTATTTTTACCTTAAAATAGTTAGGAGTTCCATAATAAAACAACAAGGTTAAATAATAATAAATCATTTTTCCTTTTGCATTATCAGTAAAAATTGCATAAAATGTTGAATTATCACAACAAAATAACTTGAATCAGATGTACTAATTTAATGGCATTTAACAGCAACAATAAACCATATAATAAGAATGTCAAGAGAGCCCAAGTTTCTATTGGAATCCAAATTTTCTATTATTCACACTTAAAAACTGATTAATGCAACATCTATAAATTCACTTCATAGTAAAAGCAGAGTTAGCTCATGGCCTTGAAAAATAAATATTCTTACTTATGCCACACCAAAACAAAGCACCCATTGCCACTGAGCGGATTCCAACTCATAGTGCCCCTAGAGGTTAGAGTAGAACTGCCTCATGAAGCTTTCAGGGCTGCAAATCTATATGGAAGAAGACTGTCACATCTTTATCCTTTGGAGGAACTGGTGAGTTTGAACAACCAACCTTTTGGTTAGCAGTCAGGTGCTTAACCACTCTACCAGCAGGGCTCCTCTCATCCTTGTTTATACTTATTATTCATGATCACAAACTACCTAAACCCTGAAAAACAAGCCATACCCTTTGACATTTAACCAATTTGTATTTTACAAGTAAATTAAGTCATGTGTGAAAATTTCATGTTCATTCAAGTAGTATATTGAGTAACACTAGCTTCAATAATTCTATGATCATTATTTCAGTTTTATACCCATTTTAATAAGGGGGCAGTTAATCATTATACATTTCTTAATGCTGCTACAATCAGCCATCCATGAAAAAACACACCTAGTAAGACATTAATAACTTAAGAATGCAATTTTTACTGCAATGCCTCCTAACCATAGATGTGTAACACCTTGTTTTCATTGTTTTATCCGTTCCTTTTTAACTCAAGGACATGAACCAGAGTTCATTTGAAGAATTTAAACCTCTAATAACTTTGATCAACTGACTAAGGAAAAAAAAAAAAAAAGTGTGGTTGCCTAAATAAATTTCTAAGTAAACAGAGCAAAGCAGCAGGTAGACTAAATGTTAATAATAATTCTACAAAGCTCTCCCCCGCTCCCGCCCCTATAACAAATCACTTGGCAAAAAGAGGGCTTTGCCTCCTTTTGAATATCTAGCCAAAAATACTTTATTTTAATTTCACTGGCATGTTCAAAATATATTCTCAGTAAGTAATTTGACTGCACCATAGAATTAATGTGTAACCATGTAAAAAAAATTATGAGTATTAAACCTCTCACATATTACAAGTGTTCAAATTTTCATGTTCCTACTCTTCTTTGCACCCAGTTGTTTTCAGATGGAGATAGTATCAGGATGCAATTCAGGGAAAGCCTATACTAGTGGTGGAAAGCTGAGTAACTCCATTTGGAATATTTAGAAGGTCTGATGAAATGGCAAAAAAACCTTCACACAATCAGATTAGTAACCCTGTAGAAAATATTTAAGAGACCAAATGACATCAAATGTCAATCTGATGGATTAGTTTAGACTTTAGTTAAACTAATCTAGACAGGAATTAGAATAACCATGAGACTACTTAATTGAATTAGAAAATGGGGAGGGGCGGGAGATGAAAACACTGAGTGTGATGATACAGCAAGCTTTGCAGAAAAGCAAGATGAATGCAGTACAAAAGCAGCTACTTGAACAAATATAATGTCTAACAGTAACTTTACCTTGTCATAATCTGAGTAAAATTCCTTACCATATAATTATAATTAATTATCCTTAACTCAAGTAGAGCTAAATTATTTTAAAGTGCATAACTATAATTGTCAAAGTAAATAAATGGCATTTAATTTGTCAATATATTTATAAGACTATATACAATCATAATTGCAATTTAAAATAATCCTAAAAAGTATTTAAAAAAACAGTAAGAGATTCATACAGCAATGATTTTAAAACAGTACCTTCGTTTCTTCTTTTTTTCTTTCCGCTTTAGCTTCTCTAAATCTTTTTTAGCTAGATCTATAACTTCAATGGTTTCTTTGTCTGAGGATAGGATAGATGGAGAGAAAGCTGATGATCCACTGAAATATGGCGATCTTGCTGTGGCTCTTGTCAGGTTTTTTCGAAGATTTTCATTCACTGCTTCACTTTCTAATAATTTTGCCCTAATGAATAAAATTATACTTAAGTAGGAAACATTTGAAATCAGTTTCTTTTGCATGTTAAAAAGGTTTTCAAAATGTACTTCAACAATGCTACAAGGTGGTTTTGTTTTTCCTTTTTTTCATAAATGTACTTACAAATGTTAATGTTTAGGATATGTTTTTAAATCCCCTTATTGAATTATTATAAACCTGAAATCACATTCATCATGCTCAAAAGAATTCTATATCTTCTATATCTGCCGGTGGCAATTAGGTTACTTGAATGCTAATCAATGGGTACCAGTTGTTCTTGCTTTCTAAACCCATTATTTAACCATGAAATATACACGCAGCATGGTCTCCTTCCTTTTAGCTCCTCATTCATCACGCAATAATAGCATTTCCAAAACTTTGAAAGGAATAGTTAGTCTAACGTGCCCCTAACTGGCTGACAGATATCTGGCTTGCAAATCTAGTGTGGGAAAAGACGATGTCTCCAAGGAAACCTGAGTTTGATCATTGAAAGCATTCTTTTGTTTGCTCAAGCAGCCCTAATAATAACAAGAGAATAATGCATGTATTGTCAATAATATGAGAACACATAGAAGGATGAGTTCCTAAAAGAGCCTGGACTTTTGTGATTAAAGGAAAGATAGAGTCCTTTGCTTCTATTTAAATTTAAACCATCAAGAACACCATTATTTACATAAACATTTCCAAGGTCAATGTGGCACAATGGTAATTGAGGCAGGGCTAAAAGGACAAAATACTACCTGCTATATTTGTCTCACATTACATTCCTAAGCACTCTATCTCTATACTATATTACTAAGCACTTTGCCATATGTTCAGGTATTTCAGAGGAAGATGCTAGAATATTTGCAACTACTAAGTTCTGAAAGGCATAGTCAGCTAGTGCTTTCTCATTGTCTGCCAACATTATTTATAAAACCGGTGAAACTAGCTAGAGACAAAGCATGCATAGTATCAGTGAATATATGTTTCAAGTCAATGTCCTGTAATCTATTTAATAAAACTGTTTTATTACATATCTGGTGTCATATGTGAGCAGAAAAACCATCATAGTATTTTTAAGTATATTTAAATAGCAGTATACAAGCTTTTAGATTCACTGACAAGATTGTTTTAAGAAAACTTCTGAATAAACAGTAGTCTTTTTTTTTTCAACTAAAAATTCAGCTTAACTATAAAAACTCAAAGTCAATAATTAAAATGACCAAACAACAGCAAAGTACAAGCAATACTTCACACTTTTCTATATTTTCAATATCTACCACAAAGCACAATAGAGATTGAAAATATAGAAAAGACAAGGATTTCTGCTCCCACACGACTTAAGAGCCTCAGAACGAACTAGACCACACTTAACAACAACAACAGCACAAAGTCAAGGAGCTTTGGTGACACAGTAGAGAAGTGGTTGGCTGCTAACAGAAATGTCACCCACCACTTGGCAGGAGAAAAACATACCAAAGATTACCACTTTGGAAACCCTATTGGGCAGCAGTTCTACTCTATCCTATAGGGTTGCTCTGACCTGACTGCACACAAAAACAACAGGGCAAAGCCTGTGTACATAACAAAGTATATAGTGAATGTTATGAACAATTCAAAGTATAAATTAGCTAAAGCATATAGAACTGTTTTGTAATTACTTCATTTATATAGTAATCTGATAATTTAGGTTAGGGTGTTTCTTGGAGGGGGTTGATTTTTTAAATCTATGGTTAAAAGTTGCATTTGGTATAAATTATTGACTGGAAAATTCATTTGAAATGTAAAACATCACCTAAAAGACAATGGTGGTGGTAGTGGTTATGTGCAGTGGAGTCGGTTCCAACCTTCTGAGGCTATAAATCTTTATGGGAGCAGAAAGCCTTATCTTTCTTCCATGGAATAGCTGGTAGTTTCAAACTGCTCACCTTGAGGTTAGCAGCCCAATTTGTAAAGACTACGCTATCAGAGCTCCTTTAAAGCATAGCAAATATTAAAAATAAATAAAAGTTTGCATCTGGAAAGGATGTGTTCATTACTTCTTCACCCCTGCTGCTGATAATGACTGAAACTTGAGCTCCACTCCTTAACTGGTCACTAAATAGTCGATTCCAACTCATAGAGACCCTATAGAATGGAGTAGAACTTCCCCATAGGGAGTCCTGGTGTAGTGCTGTGGGATAAAGCACTAGACCACAAGCTCCATTTGAATCACAAGGTCAGTGATTCAAGCTGCCAGCTACTCCTTGTAAACACTTTACAAGGTCACTATGGATCAGAACCAACTTGATGGCGTCCTGGCATGACTCTGTAGGATACACATTTGCCTGCTAATCACGAGGTTGGTGATTCAAACCCACCAGCTGCTCCTTGGAAACCCTACACAGGGTTGCTATGAGACAGAACTGACTCCATGGCACTAAACAACAGCAACAAATCTTTATGGAAGTAGACTGCCAAATCTTTCTCCATGGAGTAGCCGGTGAGTTAGCATTACGAATCGGGCTGCGAACTTCAGGGTCAGCAGTTCGAAACTACCAGCTGTTCCGCGGGAGAAAGATGAGACTTTCTGCTCCCGTAAAGATTTACAGCCTCGGAAACCCTGTACAGGGTCGCTATGGGTCGGAACCGACTGCACGGCACATAACAACAACAACCTTTTAGTTAGCAGTCACAAACTTAACCACTGCATCTCCAGGGCTCCTTGCTCACCTCCACAGAACATGTTTTTTGAAAGGGCTTTAAAAATAACAGCTCCCTCTTTCTTTCTCTCTTCTTCCCATTCACCCACTCACTCATTTGTTGCCTGCATAGTACTTAATAGGAGACCAAGCAATGAAGTCAGTGTTTGCATCTTGCTCTGTCACTCGGAGGGTCTTAGGCAATGATTCTCTAAAACCCTCTACTCTTTTCTCTGTAAAATGGAAATTATTTACTTTTTATAGGATTGATACCAAGTCTCTGGGTGGTGAAAATAATTCAAGAACTAAGCTACTAACAGAAATACTTGATGGTTTAAAACCACACAGAGATCCTCAGAAGAAAGGTCTGGCAATTTACTTCTAAAATCATGACCACTGAAAAACATATGGACCACAGTTCTACTCAGAAACACATGGATTGTCATGAGCCAGAAGCAACAGGATATAAAGTAGTTTGTTTTTTGTTTTTTTTTAATATATATATATATTTGTTTTTTTGATTTAGGATTGCTATAAGGATCAATGATACAATTAATTTAAAACACTCCTGACTAATATTCTATTCTAAAAATTATTATTATGAAAACCTAGAAAAATCTACTTAGCAGTAGGAGATTAGTCAAATCAATCATTTACATCTATAAGATGATACAATATGGAATCATGCACAAGTCATTTAAAAAATATTTAATGGCATTGAAAATGTTTATAACCTATTATCACATGTCAAAGAACAGGTAGCAAACCAATATACATTTTTTATTTAAATTTTGCTAACTTATTAATTGAAAAAAATAGATAATAATGACAAAGTCATAGGAACTAGAAGAAATTTTGACACAGTACTGCTTAATAAGTGAGCAGTGGATTTCCACCTCTCAGTATTTTATAACTGAGAAGCACCTAAAAGCATCAGTATAAATTTGAGTTTTATAACATTACTAAAGAAATTTCTTCTAAAAGAGAGTTTTTTTTGTAAATTCAAAGGAAAAAAATGTTGAAAAGATATACATCAACACATTAACATTAGTTCTCAGAATGATGGGAATATGGATGATTTGAATTACACTATCCTATATTAAAGGCGCTCTGGTAGCGTAGTGGTTACGAATCGGGCTGCAAACCATCAGGTCAGCAGTTTGAAACTACCAGCTGTTCCATGGGAGAAAGATGAGGCTTTCTGCTCCCGTAAAGATTTACAGCCTCAGAAACCCTGTACAGGGTCACTATGAGTCGAAACCAACTCCACGGCACACAACAACAACATCCTATATTAACAAGGAGTGCTGGTGCGAGCCTATAGGCTAATTAACGTGCTAGACTGAAAAGTCATTTGAACCACAACATCAGTGGTTCAGGCTCATTAGTCGCTCCTTGAAACCCTAATACAAGGTCTCTGTGGGTCGGAATTGACTCGACATCAGTTAACAGCAACATAGTAACAAAAGTGTCCTGGTGGGATGCTATAGGTTAATGCGCTGGACTGCAAAGTCAGTTTGAACTGCAAGGTTGGAATTTCAAGCTCAATAGCTTCTACTCGGAAATCCTATACAGGGTTGTTATGGGTCAGAACTGACTCAATGGCACTAAACATAACATGTTAACAAACATTTTCAAATTCAAAAAAGTACAAAGAGTAATTAAACTGTGACTATTATTAGTTTGCAAATAATGTGATATATAAATTTATTAAGCGGTAATGATTAGCTTAAAATTGTTAATGCTGTTGTTAAGTGCCGTAAAGTCAGTTCTAACTCATAGTGCCCCTGTATAGGGCTTCTGAGGAGGTGGGTTTGAACCACTAGCCTTGTGCTCAGCAATCCAGTGCTGATCCTATAACACCACACCAGGACTCCAATTTAAGATCAGAATAAGGCAAATATCAATATTCTCAAGTGGCAATACGTCATCTTTAAGGAGTTATGCATAAATGCCTTCCTGGGAAATGTTTTAATAGAAATATAAACTGGATTTAGATGTAATATATAAAGGCAGAATGTGAGTAATTGAACTTAAATAATACTAACACTTTAGACCTTTACCATACTTTCAATTTAAGATGGTTTACACCTTACTGGTTTATGTAAGCTCCATAATATATCTGTGAGCCTGTTGTTCTTGTTAAGTACCATGGAACCAGTTCTGACATATAGTGACCCTGTATTGGGTGTCCATGGAGCAGTTGGTGGGTTTGAACCACCGACCTTGTAGTTTGCAGTCCAGTGATTATCCTACAGCACCACACGAGAAATAATACCAGACTGTTGTTGTTGCTGTTAAGTGTCATCTAGTCAGTTCCAATTCACAGTGACCCTGTGAGGGTTTTTGAGGAGCAGCTGGTGAGCTTGACCTGCCAACCCTGTGGTTAAAGCCAACCTTGCATTCTAATGCATTAGCCCACAGCACCACACCAGGACTAGTAGGTATGTATTACCAGACTAGCAGGTTATTACTTCATTTTTACAGAAGAACAAACTGAAGTTCAGATATATTGGGTAACTTGAACCCAAAGCCTTATTAGTAAACAGAAGTTTAAATTTAACCAAGGTAAAGCTATTTGAATTTAAGGCTAATTTATGCATACCACATATGTAATTTATTTTTACATTATAAAGTACAGTTCTAGAATTCTAGAAGACTACACCCCAAGGGTGGGACACACCTAATTAAAGAACCATCAGAGAAAAGTTGGGAAAGTGAAACAAACTGTTAACTTATACCAGGAAAGATGTGATCACAGATGGAATTCAGGAGTTATATGTCATCTCTACTCTATAAATGGCTTAAAGAATGGTCTTGACTCCAGACAGTGAAGAAGGAAAATACTAGATGCTGCAATCAGCAAGAGGGGGAATGGTCCAAGCAGTTTTCTAGGATATAGGACACTAATCCAATAGTGAGACAAAATCTAGGTACAGCCTTAGAATAACAGGGTGGAGAGATGGTATGGAGTAGGTCTTAACAATTGGCCAGTGGCAGGAAAACAAAAAGGACATATAAAAACAAGCAGGCTAGGAGCAGGATGACAAAGTCTAGAAGAGAAAAGACAAAGATAAAAGTTGTGTTTCAGTAATTGCTATCAGGACTAACTGTGAGGCTTGGAAATGTAAAGGTAGGTGTTTTGTAACAAAAGCAGGGGAGTAGTTGATTTTGCAGTCCAGGAGCAGAGGTCCCAGGGACCTCTGTGAGAAAAGTGGAGTGTGGGACCCTCCCAGAGAAACAGGGACGCCAGAGGCAGAGACGATGACGTGGAGAGATGAAGCAACTGGGGACTCTGGACTCAGGGAAGGAGAGGGTCTGTGTGTTGATGGCCGGGGGGGCAGGCTTGCCTATGGTTGTTTGATGATGCATGGAGGGGATTTTGTAATCATTGCAATGACACGAAATACGATAGGATGATGTAAAGCTAATATTCTCCCATGTAAACTATCACATAATTCACAATAAAAACTTACCAAAGAAAAAAAAGTTGTGTTTCAAGCATGATAACCATGGGATTTACAAAGCGAGGAAAGATTAGTCGGAGAACAGAAAAGCACTGTTAAGACAGGATAGAAACTACAAGTCTTGATTGGCTGCTGAACAAAACCAGGACCAGGGCCCCAGGGGGGAGCCAAAAAGGTAATGTTTGGGAAATATACTTAGGAAGGGGCCTAAACATTCCACTAACAGCAACAATTATGCATGACCAAACTTGTGTATGCATGTATGTGTGAGTGAAGTAAAGTTATTTGAGAAACTTCATCTAGCACTACATCAAGATGTCTTCTTAATTTCCTTCACTTTTAAAAAATATTTATGGGATCCAGTTTGCCTTTTTGAACCAGAAACAGTGAAAACAGGACTTGTTTCAATCTAAGAAGCTGTAGAATACCCAGGGCAAAAGACAAGGAAAGGGAATACAAACACAAGATGGGGACGTGTTGGGGTAGCTCTGAAAGGTGACCTCTTAGCCTAGGTTTTTCTCTGACAATTAGCAGAAGTGAGATTTGAGCTACTCAGATGCTCCGCATTGTGCTAACTGCAGTTTTATTTCAAGAGAAAGCAGCTAGCTCCATCATGAGTGCAATCCACAGAATGTGAAAATGCTGTAGAAATGAACAGTGTCCATTACGCTCTTTCCCAGCCCCATTCTCCCTGTCTGGTATCAGTGCTCTCTCCTCTACATTCCTACAGCAGGAACAGACATTCATTTTACTAAAGTCTGTCATTCTGCCCACCACATGTGACTATTTTTGTACATACCCCACCTACACTGTGAACTTCTTGCTTATGTTATGCTTGTCTTAGGCCATGAAACAATGCTTGGCATATAATGAACGTTTGTGATATGACACATGAAATGTGAATGGATGAATGTGCCAGAAAGAGAGGCAGGGAAATTGGTAGGGATGAACTGATCTACACATAAAAAATAACTGAAGGAAAAAGGAAAACTGGAGATGACTTGTAGATGGGGGTAGAGACACAGGGAGGAGAGGCACCAAAGATAACTTCACCAACATCAATTATATCTGTCCTGTATGTCAGATTGAGTAAATTCCCAATGAGGGGCATAACAGTAAGTATAGAAAGATAATCTGGGAAGAGAGCAGAGTAAAGGTGTGTGAAACTTAACATCATGGGAAAGTCAGTATCTATTCCCCAAAAGTTAACCTGAATAATAGACTGAAATAGCATTCTGAACACTTGCTGAACAATAAACCTAACAAATAGTCATGTTATTACATTGTTAAAACCCAAAATAAATATATGCCTTATACATAAGAGAACAGGAACTTACCTGAGATCTTCAATTTCTTTGATGTAACTGTGTATCATATTACTAATCTCCTCATTCCCTTCACCTGCAAAAAAGAGCATAAAATTAAAAATTTGCTTTAAATAAAGACTTCAACAAAATAGAACAGGAGGGGGAAAAGTTATGGAAATAAAATAATAATATAATGCTTTACAGTACAATTTTCACAGCAAATTTTCTACTCTTAATTACATGTGGAGTCCTGGTGTGGAGCTGTAGGATAAGCATCAGACCGCACATCAGTTTAAACCGTTAGGTCGCCGGCACTTAACAACAACAACAACAACAATTACATGAACAGACAGTAAGATAACATGATAAAGCAAAGGGGATGTTTTGTTTATATAATTCATTGTAAAAATCATTACATATTTAACTTAAAATCACCTACTGTACAGATCTTGGCATTTCTGCTTCAAATAGTTTTGGTGATTAACAAACACAAAATATGTCCTCTGCCCTCCAGAAATTAATCTCTCGCTCATCCCACCCTACGCACATACCTGCTCTGGCAAGAACCTGGTTGGCCTGATCACTAACAAGCTGTGTGATTCTAGTCCTCAAAGCATCAACTGTCTCTTGCATGGCTTTGATTCTTACACGCAGATTATTATTTTCTGTCTGTAGCATGGCATTTTCATGAAACATGTCGTTGATGCTTTCCACGCCTTCCTCATCAATTATTCTTTTACCCTAGAAAAGGGAAATAGATTCCTATTAACTGAGGAGCCTTACATGTGTACACACTTTGTGTAAGGATATAGCTTTGCTGCTATTATTAAGTGCTGTGGAGAACTATAAAATTTTATAGCCAAAAGCCCTTTAATCTGACCAACACCAAGGCAAAAAAGATCCATTACCCTCGACTGCAACCCTCCATGGATTCCTGGTGTGGCACTGTAGGATCAGTACTGGATTGCCAACCACAAGGTCAGTGGTTCAAACCTATCAGCTCCTCTTTGGAAATCCTATACAAGGTCATTATGAGTCAGAACTGACTCCATAGCACTTAACAACAACACAACCCTTCATCGTGCTTTTGTCACTAAGTAATTCATTGGGTAAGACACTGAAATAGAGATTGGTCAGATTAGCAGACCAAATATCACTAAAGGCTTCCCATAAGGAAGGACTAGAGAACCCTACCTCCAAAAAAGGAGATCACAAAATTCTGGAGTCATCACAAAAAGACAACATTGAGTTCACAATATGCTAGCCTTAGGACTATCACAAAATGTAAAGTCAAACCCATTAGCTTACTGTTTTATACTCCATGAGCTCCATCTGAAGTCGCGTGATCTCACTACGGAGTGCGTTGATTTGCTGACTAGCTCTGTCCTGATTGACCATCACCTTGTTCTTGATATTTCTAGCTCGATTGGCATATTTCAGGGTGTTTAAAGTTTCCATAAAATCTCTGTCTGAAGGGCTGACACACGCTATCATGATTGTTTGGCTGAAAGTTACAAATATAATTAAGTTTACAGATAAAAAGAATTAAAACACTAAGGTATTTTTAAATCCCTGTCCTATGAATAGCATCTTTTCATCAAGATAATAAAAGATTGCTGCTATTAAGTTAAAAATAAAAGTAGATCCATAACCTATATGTTTAACCTGTAATCTATATGCTTTAAGATTATTTTAACAAAAAATACTCTGTTTATTTAGGAAATCCAATAGCACAGTTTCACCCTGTCCTCTTTAAGGTTGTTATGAGTCAGAATCCACTTGACAGCCTTGAGTTTGATTTGTTGTTGTTGTTGTTACTTAAGTAAAATTGGAAATACTAAATGTGTACTATCCCTCTTTAACCCATGATGCCTTAAGACAGCACAAGCACATACAGTTTTTAACTCTTTATAAAACTTTTTACAATACTGCACACAGAATAATTCTAAAATCGAATCTATTTACAACGCAATAGGTAAAATAGAAAGATAACTCCGTTAATTATTTATGTATTATTTCAATATTTGAATTTTTTCATCCTTTTATTTAATCACTTGTATATTAACTTTTGACATCATGAAAAGATTTTATACAAAATCCAATCACTCAAAAACAAGAAAAGCTATAGAGCCTTATGTTTTGCATTGTTTTGTTTTTTTAATTTATTATAGTTTGGGTGAAAGTTTATTGAGCAAGTTTGTTTTCTATTCAACACTTGATACACATTATGCAATTTCCTCAGTATTAACAGGTCTCTTCCCACCTCCTCCCAGATTCCCCAGATCCATTTGTACATCTTTCCCACCCTTTCTTGCCTTCTGAGCTTTGTTTTACGGACATCCTTATGTTTAATAAGGTGCTATAGCATAAGCACTGGACTGCTAACCATACGGTCAGCACTTTGAACCTACCATCAGGAGAAAGATGAAGTTCTCTACTCCCATAAAGATTTATAGCTTTGAAAACCCTTTGATAGCCATAGTAATTCAACTGTAGTAGGTTTTCGGTTTATGTTTTATAATACAACACGATCTATGAGTACATAATCAGCACTTCTGGCCAGGTTACACCAGAAAAATGGGAAAGATTAATTTATGGTCATGATAAATGGCTTGACAAACCAAATAGTAAAATAGAGGAATGCTTAGTACGTTCCATATATTATGAGACAGACATGAGATTCCAATGGGAATTCACAAGGTAACTCAAGAAGGTATAAGGTCTACATTTAAGGAGCTTATTTATCCATTCTGATAGGAAACCCCATGTTAATCAATTCCAAAACAATAGCTTCCTATCTAGTCTTCTGCTGTAACTCTTGCCTTTCCCCAATAATCTCAATGTAGCACTTGTAGTGATTCTTCTAAAAAGTAGCCCCATTCACCCACATTTTTCACTTTGCCAGTTCTTGCTCATGTTACTCACCCTTATCATACTATTATTAAAGATTCCGTTTGACTGTAAACTTTTCTCTGTGCTTCCTCATACCTTTTGCACATATATATTATCTTTTCATTTAGATGATTTTTATTACTACATATTGAAATTTTCTTAAACCTCAACTCTGACATGCTAGGCTCCTACAGAACAAGGATCATCAAATTTTATTCATTGGTGTACTTCTAAGTATATATTGCAATAATTGGAACATATTGTTGCTGGTAAGTGCCATCAAGTTAGTTCCAACCCATAGTAACCCTATACAGGGTTTCTGAGGAGCAGCTGGTGAGCTGGAACTGCCAACCTTGCAGTTCAAACTGATTTTACAGTCCAGCACATCAACCCAAAGTGCCACACCAGGAACATATTAGGTCATCAGTAATTGTTCTTAGTATGTGTCACATACTAAGTGTCACATTAGTATGTGTCACATTTATTATGTGCACATATTGAGAGTCAGAAAGTTAAAAATAATTCACATCTCTCTAGTCTCTCTTGGTGAAGAAGAGGCAAACACATTAGAGTGAGGATTACAGATGCTGAATAGAGCATGGTTTTTGGAAGCGTGGTGTTAGTCTGTGAACTATTTGTTACTAGTTTACAATACGATAAGTTTAGAAATTAAGGGTAAGCACATTAGAAACTTCTACAACACTTGAACTTGTAATCAGTGATTCATCAGAATGCATAGGTTATGGAACAGTTCAAGTGCTCTAAGACTCACATGGTGAGTCTCAAATACTGCAATCAGACTAACACTTGTATGATATCCTGTACCTACCACAAACTGAGGGAAAATATTCGCCTTTTGCAAATGATTTGAAGGGCACTAAGACCAAGTACTTAAGGAGAATGGTGAAATTCAGGAATGAGAGAAGATGACCAAGATTAACTTCACAGGGAAATGATAACATATTAAGCAAAACCCTAAAGATACAAATTTCCAGTACAGTTATATTTGTAAAGAAAACACTATAGCTGCTTACTTTAAAAGCTGATGTAAAAGCTCCAATTCTGCTTTAAAGACAATCATATCAGTAAAATATTTTACTATGCTACATTTTATATACTATAAACAAGGCAGTTTCCAAAAGTTTGTAGAAAACAGAATTTAAAGACAATGGAAATTTTTCACAAACGTTTTGAAGCCCCTGATATATCTTATTTGCTAATACATTATATTCTATTCTATTATACACCTAGATAGCATAGTGGTTATGAATCAGGCTGCAAACTGCAAGGTCAGCAGTTCAAAACTACCAGCTGCTCTGTGGGAGAAAGATGAGGCTTTCTGCTCCCATAAAGATTTACAGCCTCAGAAACCCTGTTCAGGGTCGCTATGGGTCGGAATCAACTCGACGGTACTTAACAACAACATACACCTAGAAGGAAATACATCACAATTAGCAGCAGCAGTTACCTATAGTTATAGAAACACAATGGATTTTTATTCATGTTTTACACTTCCATATATTTTCCAGAATTTTTGCTATAAATGTATTAAAAGTGGTATGTTAAATAATATTAAAAAGCATAAAAGTCAGCTTGCTTTAAAAGTCAACAAATTATGTACCTAACTATATGTACCTTGTTTCCAAAACTACGTCAACTAATTTTTCATTTAAGTTTAATTTGCATAAACTTCACAAAATGAAAGTAGTTTGCTCTCCATGGCTCAAATAAAGTACATTTCTTTTTAACTATGAGGTCAATCTGAAATTCTAAACAAGAATTGAGACTTAGTAAGGATAGAATTACAAAGGGTCATCTCCTCTGAGGGGTCACCACCCTTGTAAACATGGGCGGAAAACATCTGAGACTATTTGGCTGTATCCTAAAACTCAAGAGAATTCAAGGCCCACAGTGAAAAATACCACAGACATACCAATTAGAAAGCAAGCAAACTTTTAAAACTATTGAACTCTGTCAGTAAGGGGCTAATTACCATGTCTGTTTTGCTTTTTGGTTACAAAATAAATAGTAAGAACTGGCTAAAATAGAGAAACCTTTCAAACTTTTACAGGGGCTTAAAACATAAATTTGTTCTTTTACAATAAGACATTGATATTGAAGATCAGACTGAAAAAATGGAAAATTAAGAAATATACAATGATGGAAGCAAAATGGCATCCATATGTAGAATGCTAAAAGATAGACGACTTAAGATAATACCAATATCCCAAACAAGGCAGGAACATACAAGTGCTGAAAATTATAAGGCAAAACTTTATAAACCAACAGATTTCAAACTTAAATAGATCTAACAATATTCAAAATTCTATGAATAGCTTTCAAAAAGAAATTTTGCAGGTTTAATTACCAGATCACTGTACTGTATCCAATTACCTTTTCAATAAACATTATTTGTTAGACTACTAAAAACATTGTAAAATAAATTTGCTGTGACTTTATAACTTGTTAAATTGTGCTACGCTTGAATTTAAAAGCTAAAAAATGTTTCCACTTGCAAAGCCAACATGTTGACGTTTCTAGAGGGGAATGCATTACCCAAAGGATGGAGTTAGCTGATAAAACATATCAGAATGCTGTAAAGTATGCAAAAAGGGAAATATCAGTGATTTTAACAAAGTTTAAAAACCCAATTTTTATAAGTCACTTTAGAAACTTACTTATAAACCAATAATGGAAACTCAGGAATATAAAGAATAATCAATTATACATACCTATTACCCCCAAGGGAGTCCTGTAGAAGTCTTGTTAGCTTGGAATCTCTATAGGGAACATGGGTAGCCCTTTTGCTCTTGTCTCCCAGTGCACTTATTACATTGCCAAGTGCCAACTAAAAGAGAGCAAAACGATATAGATTTACTAATTTCAATACTTTTAAAGGAAAAAAAAATTGAGAAAAAGAATATGAAGACAGGACTTAGAAACATTTGTGTTTAATTTTTCTTTACTTACATTTATATTTTAAGGTATAAAGTAAACTTTAAAGTTGCCTTTATTAACTACTAAAATACGACACCACTCAAACTTTGGTATTATATAGAAAGAGTCCTAGAGTGGCACTCTGGGATAACGCACTGGACTGCAAAGTCGGTTTTGAACCATAAGGTCGGTGGTTCAAATTCACCAGCCAGTCCTTGGAAACCCTATACAGAGTCACTATGAGTCATAACCAACTCGACAGATCCTAACAACATGTATATATATACAATATATATATATATACATAATATACACACACATATATGTATGTATGTATGTATATATATATCCACAACTCACAATTATTTATACTTGTATGCAACAATTTTCTTTAGAAATGGAATGTTATAGAATTAAAGTTTTGAACCATCTTTACAGCATCAGGTGTGCTTCTGGAAATTTTTCAGTTCCTACTGTAAACTCTTCTCCTCAACTCAATAAAGAAATAAAATGTCTAGTTAATGTAATAGTTTCATAAAAGTTTCTTATTAGAATATAGCTCCTTATAGGAAAATAGAACCTCCTTCAACCATAATAAAAAATAATACAACTTTTCTAAATAACATATTCTTAAGCAAATAAAGGTGCACTTAGAAATGCACTCAATCTTTGTGCCAAGCATCCAATTTTTAAAAAATTAAGTCAAATGATAGCACTCCCTGGACACTCCTTCCTGTCATCTGTTAGTGTTTTTTCGATTGTAACTAGTCATGCTTGCCTTCAGTAATGCAAATGTCCATTAATATGTCTCCTTTAGGACCAATCGATCATGCAACCTATGGCATCATTTTCACTGTGTCTTGGTCTCTTTTTTTAGGACTACAGTTGTAAGCACTGGCCTCACTGAAACTCTACTACTGTGTCTCAACATGCTTTAACACTCTAAAACAGGAAAACAGAACTTTTGTGTTTTCCTGACAGCATAAATGCTAATACCAGCATTGTTTTATCTCCTAAGAAATGCAAAAGATTCCTAGTATGGTATTATAGCATAAGCACTGGACTGCTAACCACAAGGATGGCAGTTTGCCCCACCAGGCATTCCTCAGAAACCCTATACAGGGTCACTATGAGTATGAACTGACTCAACAGCACTCAGCAACAAAAACAAGAAATTCAAAAGAGTACACCAAGTCCAAGATCCAGTTCATTCATTTAACATCATATTCAACTCTATAGTGGGAACCTTAAGATGGGCACTGGAGTTGAGAGGACTGAGAATCTCTAATCAGCCTCTCTTGATAATTCCCCAACAGAAGCGTTGTGACCATTAGGCAAAGTCAGAAAAGAACCCATGTCTGGAGCCCCCAGCTGCAGGAAGGTAGGGAGAGAGACAAAGCAGAAAACACATGCCATATCACAGAAGTTTAGGGATGCCTTTATTTTTATATAAAAGCAAATGTCCAATTATATAATGCAGACAACAAGAAGACAAGCTATACAACACAGAAATTTGCTTTAAAGCATTTTCTTCCATGTAACAGAAATCTTATGTTAACTCAATCACAACGTATTTTCCAATCAAAATACCACTAGGTGGCATGATATTAAAATTGATTTCTAACATAATCTAGAAAAGTTTCCATTTTGAAACAATCATGAAAAAATGTTTGGTGGCGCTGTGGGTTAATGCGCTGGACTGTAAAGTTGGTTTGAACTTCAGTCTGCAATGTCGGCGGTTCAAGCTCACCAGCTGCTCCTCGGAAACCCTAAAAACAGGGTCGCTATGAGTTGGAACCAACTCAATGGCACTTAACAACAACAACAAATTATCCCCCAAATCAATAAAGTGACTGTCATAAAAAGCTAACCAGCCCGCAAGATGGCGGCGGTTGGAGCGGGCCGTCTGTGGTGGCCCCGATGCTCCGAAGCCCACAACTGACCACCCGGAAGCTGTCAGCCTCGGCTTAGCTCTATAACAAGAAAGTTGCTGATCATTATGAAAATCCCAGAAACGTGGGATCCCTCGACCAGACATCTAAAAATGTTGGAACTAGATTGGTGGGGGCTCTGGCTTGTGGTGATGTAATGAAATTGTAGATCCAAGTGGATGACAAGGGGAAGATTGTGGATGCCGGGTTTAAAACATTTGGCTGTGGTTCTGCGATGGCATCCAGCTCGTTAGCCACTAAGTAGGTGAAAGGGAAAACGGTTGAAGAAGCCTTGACCATCAAAAGACAGACATTGGGAGCTTTGCCTGCACCACCCCCACCCCCACCCCAGCACCCCCGTGAAACTGCACTGTTCCATGCTGGCAGATTACAAACTGAAACAAGAGCCCAAGAAAGGTGAGACGGAGAAGAAATGAGCCTGGGGCCAAACTGCCAGCACAGCCCATCAGCTGCCCCTCCACCCCTACTCGCCATGCCACCACCCAGATGTTCAGAAGCCCCTCACGCTGCACTGAAAGAATGCTGCAATTCACTCACTGTCTACCGTCCCCTGTGGCTGTGATGCCGGTGAAATACACCATGTAATACTCTGGATCCCGTGCCGCCTTCCAGCCCACTTTACCGTCCCAGCCCAGTCACGTGGCCATCTTGAATTGTACGGCACTCAGTGATGATGGCATACACCGTCAGCTGTCAGCTGAGTCCATAAAAATATTTGCTTTTACCTGAATCTATTTTTGATGATTTGAAAGAACCAATGATTGATTGTACATAAGACAGATATATATATATAATAAAAGCATGTAAGAGAGCTCTGGTAGCGTAGTGGTTACGAATCGGGCTGCGAACCTTAAGATCAGCGGTTCGAAACTACCAGCTGCTCCGCGGGAGAAAGATGAGGCTTTCTACTCCCGTAAAGATTTACACCCTCGGAAACCCTGTACAGGGTCGCTATGGGTCGGAACCGACTCGACGGCACTTAACAACAACAACAACAACCAAATGCTACTTTGAAAAAAACCTTATAATTTGAGATACTTAGAGTCATACTAAATGTTGATTTTGATAGTATATTTTAAATGTGGAAAAAGTTTTCAACAATTTCTAGATATAATTTTCTGTACATATAATTTTTAAAATGTGTTGTTGCTTGCTGTTGTTTTTAAGTGCCATCAAATTGATTCCAACTCATAGTAACCCTGTATAGGGTCGCTACAGGAGCAGCTGGTGGGTCTGAACCATCGACCTTGCAGTTCAAACAGACTTTGTAGTCCCGTGCATTATCTTGCTGTGCCAAACAAACCAGGGCTCCTCATAAAAAGAAATCCAAACAAATTATTACACATGAAGAAAATCTGCAATTTGAGAAGAGAAAAAAGCCTACAATATGAGATCAGAGGATTCAATGCACTACACATATGCTTAGTGCAAATCTTATTATTCAGTTCAGTGCAGGAAGAGTTTCATTTAAGATACTATGTATTCTAGAAAAGAAAAGGACAATAGCAAAACACCTTAGTCTTACCAGTCCACAGTTGATGGAAATGCCTTCTTTTGCCCGCTCTCCAGTAGCACCAGTACGCTTCAATCTTTCTGATCCTGCCAGATCCACAAAATGGAATTTTGCAGTCAGGGTCTCAAATTCATTCATCTCTGATGATTCAGAAATCATCTTATTATCAGTTGCATTTTCCTGCAATTGAAGTAAATCATTGAAAATATTTTATTAATGTCACAAACACACACACACACAAAACAACCTCCAAACCCACTTTGTCCTCATCCAAAGTATAAAATTATGGTCTCAGAAAAAAAAAAAAAATAGCAAGTAGTCAAATAAACATAAATGCAGAAATGTGGGCTGGCAATTAGAAAATTAGACAACGAAGCTGTTAGGTCAGAACCCAGTTGTTATCAAGTGAGACTTGGCATATGATGGGAAACCTCTAACATATTCTCAAAAGCAAAGGGTTTTAAGTGACAATATCCATTTCCATATGGCTACAGCATGCCACTTGGATGCTGCACAAATCCAATTTTCTTCAAATCTTACAAGGTTGGCCCTTGGTATAAATGGAATTAGAAGACATATTATTAGGGAAAAAACTGATTAAGTAAACTGATTTCATTCAAATGTACTCTTGGGATTCTTGTGATTTTAGAGAAATGATGTCTAAAAGTTAAAAATGAGAACTAGTAACTCACAGCATCTGTCTGGGGACACATTCTGGTTTGACACAAGTGAATGGTAAAAATGGCATGTGACCGAGAGCTCTGAACATTCATCTGGGTACTAGCAGTAGTCCGTGATAAAGCACCCAACTTCAAACACTGCATCATCTGAAAAAAGGGAAGAAAATTTTGCTTTACTTGAATAATATTTAAACAAATATGCAACTCAACCAGTAGTCTGAGCTAATGGTTAAATTCACCATATTAAAAGTTATAAAATATGTGAATTTTAATTTTATTGTAATTACAGGCACTTTTTGAGCTGAACTTCTCAGTATAATAGTGTATTATTTTTTAAAATAGAAGAACACACTGAGATGCCTTTGTTAGCTACTTGCTGACATTTGCAGCATCCATTCCAAAACTTTACTAAATCTGAGCAGTAACTTGAATTACTCAGACTCTTCTGTATCTTCTGTTAAATTATTTTTGGTCATTTTTCTTACCAGTCTTTATTTAGAAACAGTAAAACAATCTTATATCTGTGACAATAAAAGGTACAAAAGGATTGTCTAACCCACTTTCTTTAGCTGTGAAGAAATAGTGCCTTAGATTCTTTTGATGCTATCATAAATGTACTGAGTTTAATAAAATCCTGGTGGAAAAAGAAAACAAGAGGCAAGATTTTAAGTCCATGTTATGCTTAAGAAAGGAACTATGATGGTGGGGTGGTTAAGCACTCAGCTGTAACTGAAAGGTCTGCAGTTCAAACTCATCAGTCACTCTATAGGAGAATGATGTGACAAGATACTTCCATAAGAGTTGTTGTTGCTGTTAAGTGCCGGTGAGTTGGTTCTGACCCATAGCAACCCTGTATAGGGTTTCTGAGGAGCAACTGGTGAACTTGAACCGCTGACCTTGCAGTTCAAACCGACTTTGCAACCCAGAGTGCCACACCAGGACTCCTCCACAATAATTACAGCCTTGGAAAGTCTACGGGGTAGTTCTACCCTGTCCTACAAGTCACTGTGAGTCACAATTGACAAGACGGAAAAGGATATGTTTAAGAATACAAACTTCATATCTCACATCTTTCAATTAAGTATACTACTAGAAAACTTTATTTTTACAAAATTAAAAATGCTCTACTTTAACTATAAGATAAATATTACCTCTGATTCTGTATTCACATTACGTGTTGTGACGCCCACAGTATAAATTCCTCCAGTTGAATCTTCATGAATTCTTATATTTGACTTTTTATTTTTTGCATCAATATCACGAGTAGTATCAAATAGGTCAAGAACCTCTTCATTATAGAGCTATCAAAAAGGAATATTAAAAGTTTAACAGAAATTGTCTTCTGGTTATCGTAACACATGCTGTATAATGTTACCTTTCCAACATATGAGAAAGTTTTATATTTCTTCAAAATGACACCTATATTCTTCAAAATTGAGACATAAAAAGATGAGCAATTAAAATTCCAAATATAAATCAATGTCAGATTTATCTACAAGAGTAATAACAATAAATTACTTATTCATAATTGGTAGGTTTAGGACTAACTAAAATGGACTACTCATCAGTGCAAGAAATATACAAAAATTTACAAATACAAGCAAACTCAGATATATGTGCCAAATGTTAACACATTTTTAGAGAAGATTTTAATCATTTGTTACCACTTTAAGTACATCCCCTATTGCCCTGAAATCCTTCTTAACAAGTCTAAAATTAACTCTTAGCATTTTTGCAAGGTCAGTAATAATGCTAATGTTTCTATGGCTAATAGTGGCTAATAGCTTCCTTAGAAGAGGGTACATATACCTATTTTTCTACCAATATGCTTTACTAACATTTTAGAGAGTGAAACGGAAGATGGAAGAATATGGTTTCTTTTCTTTTTCCACAATCATTTACTTGCCTTTTAGGAGAAACACTTAGTCTATTTTGTTTGGCTTTTACTAGAGTTGGAGGTCCATTAAAACCAAGAGTAAGATAATTGATATTACTGATATTACTGTGAATTAAATATTCTTTGAATTAAAAATTCTATGTTGTACCAAATGTTGCTGACTAAAATGTTTCACCAATGATTAAAATGATTAATGTATGCATGAGATGAACTAGAATTAAATACTCTTCTCAACAAGGACTCTGAATTTCAATTCCACCTTCTATTTAACTGCATTACTGTTCAAATCCCAGATGTCCTCTTGCTATTATACTTCTCCAAACAGACAAGATCGTCCTAAATTAACCCAAAAATGTCCCCACCTTTGGACATTACATCAAATCACCTGGCTACCTTACAGGGATACAAATATCTGCAGCCAAATTAGTGCCACAGCATCAGTCCTATTATTCCTTATGCTCTCCCATCCCTTTTGATCTTAGTTGATAAACTTCCAACACTTGGTTGTTGTTGTTGTTGTTCTTACGTGCCATCAACTCACAGCGACCCTATGCACAACAGAACGAAACACTGCCCAGTCTCGGGCCAACCTCACTACTGTTACCACGCTTGAGCCCATTGATGCTGCCACTCTGCCAATCCATCTTGCTGGGGGTCTTCCTCTTTTTCTCTGACCCTCCACCTTACCAAACATGATAACCTGCTCCAGCGACTGGTCCCTCCTAACAATATGTCCAAAGTATGAAAGATGAAGTTTGGTCATCCTGGCCTCCAAGGAGCACTCTGGCTACACTTCTTCCAACACAGATCTGTTGGTTCTTTTGGTAGTACATGGTGTTTTCAGCATTCTCCGCCAACACCATTAACTCAAATGCATCAATTCTACAATCTTCCTTATTCACTGTCCAGCTTTCACATGCATATGACATTATTGAAAATACCATGGCTTGCAGGTGCACCTTAGTCTTCAAGTTGACATCTTTACTCTTCAACACTTTAAAAATATCTAGTGCAGCAGATTTGCCTAATACAATACGCCATTTGATTTCTTGACTGCCGCTTCCGTGTTTTAATGGGTAATTCAAGAAGAATTAAGTCAACAGCTTCAATCTTTTCTCTGCTGATAAGAATGTTGTTTATTGGTCTAGTGAGGATTTTTGTTTTCTTCACATTGAGATGCAATCCATACCAAACGCTGTGGTCTTTGATCTTCATCAGTAAGTATTTTAAGTCCTCTTCACTTTCAGCAAGCAAGGTTGTATCATCTGCATACTGCAGGTTAGTAATGAGTCTTCCTCATTAACACTTGATGAGCCTGCCTAAATTACAAGAGTAATTATAGAGGATAAAGAGAGATTCTGAAATAAACAACTCTTTTTCACTTTGTACACATTGATGAAGTGTTTATAATCTTAAATACCAACATAATTGCCTAAGAATGAGGAATATTTATTACCTATTATTTAATGTGGAGTCCTGGTGTGGTGATGTAGGATAATGTTAATGTTAACATTATGCTAACTGCAAGGTCAGTGGTTCAAATGCAATAGTCACTCCTTGGAAACTCTCTACAGAGTTGCTATGAGTCAGAACCAACTTGATGACACTTGACAACAACAATGTTATCTAATGTTACTTTGGTCAAACAATATTTATTGAGTACCATGTGCCAGGCAATGTATTAGAAACCAAGATTACATAATCATAAGCATTAATGGTTTAAGGACAAGATTTAAAGAATAATGATGGCCCAAGAGACTATTACCTCTAAGAATTGGGCATTCACTTTAAAATCTGGAGGAGGAAGTCCATTTTTAATTGCAGTGTGTTTTTTATCTTCAATACTCTTGAAAAGATGTTTAACGGCACGAGAAATAATACCCTGTTCTTCCTCAGTGATGTTAACGTCAAATCCTGTCCCCATGGTGTATGTTTTTCCAGCTCCAGTCTGAACAGAAGAACACAGAGTAATGAGTACTTAACATTCATAACAATCTCAAATAAGTAATGAAAGTGTGACTGAGTTGATCCTTCTTAAGAGTTATAGTTCACAGAATAATAATTTGGTACTTACTTGTCCATAAGCAAAAACTGTAGCATTATATCCTTCAAAACAACCTTCAATCAGTTTTTCTATAGACTGAGAGTAGATCTGCTCTTGCTGAGAGTCAATGTCAAATACATAGTCAAAAGTAAAGGCTTTATCCTTCCCTAGGAAGACCTGAGGTTCTCCTGGTGTAACAGATGTACAAATATGGCATCCTTCAATCTTTTCTTTGGCAAGCTGTGGCCTTATTCTATGAGAAATAAGAAAAAAAATCAAGTAAACTAAGTAGAACAAACAAAACCAACTCAAGAACTAGAACTTATTAATTCCTGTCAAATCTTTTTAAAACATTAATGTGGCCAATTAATACTCCTTCACATGAAACTTTTAAACAAACTGAGTTATACTGAATCAATTTTCAAGAATTATGAACAAGAATAAAATGTATCTTCAAATATTTGTTCAGATGCAGTAATATTTTTCTTTTATGTTACTGCATCTGAATAAGTATTTAATTTTATTAAGAGGTTTGTTGTTGTTGTTGTTAAGTGCTGTCGAGTCGATTTTGACCCATTGCGACCCTGTATAGGGTTTCCAAGGAGCAGCTGGTGAGCTTGAACCACCGACCTTGCAGTTCAAATGGCTTTGCAGTCTGACACATTAACCCACAGTGTCACACAACATCAAACCAGTTCCAACTTATAGCAACCCTATATAAAGTTTCCAAGAAGCACGTGGTGAATTTGAACCACTGATCTTGCAGTTTAAAACAACCTATGGTCCAGTACATTATCCTGCAACACCACACCAAAAAGACAGTTAATAAATTTTAAAACCAAAATGCTGTTTGTTGTTGATTTTGTTGTTGTTTTAGGTTTCTAAGATGCTAATATACAAAAATGAAAATTTATGGATATAGTACCTACTACCTACATGGCCTTGACATGCCTTTTTTGCAAATTCTTTAGCACTGATTTTTAAATTTATTCAATCATTTCCTTTGTCATCAGAATATGCTTAAGGATATTTTCATGTACTATTGTATGGGAAACCCTGTACAGATCGCTATGAGTCGGAACCGACTCCATGGCACATAACAAAAACACCAACAACATTGTATTGACAGTGTACATTATGAGTCCTATTATGGCGCTAAAGGTTAATACGCTGGACTGCAAGGTTGGTTTGAATCACAAGGTCAGAAATTCACGCTCAACGGGCAGTCCTCAGAAACCCTTAGTGAAATAGCAATCGAGTTGACAGCACTTAACAACAACAAATTATAAGATATAAACAAAACAACTTTTGTAAACAAGGAAATGAAAAAAGAAAGTATAAACAGAAGCTCTAATGTTTTCACAATCTAGTGATTCATCATGTACAAATCCTAGGGTGTCTGACATTTACTTTGAAGACCACAGCACCACACTCACCCTAAGTCCATCTCCATCTACTCCAGATTTTAGCACTTTACTATTCTGTCTTTTCTCATTTTCAAGGCCTGTTTTCCAAGGAGGAAAGTACATACAGAGATATGTTGATTACCAAACAAAATTTAAAAAAAAAAAAAGTCCATTTCCATCAAGTTGATTATGACTCATTGTGACCTTATATAGGGTTTTCAAGACTATAAATCTTTATAGCAGCAGACCATCTCATCATTCTCTAGCAGAGTATCTGGTAGGTTTGAACTGCCAACCTTGTGATTAGCAGCCCAACACTAAACCATAGTGCCACTAGGGCTCCTTATGCTGATTACAGAACCAAAATCTGGCCCCACTCTATTCACTCTATAAACAGAATCATCCTGGACACACATGGGGGTGGTTTCAAGAAAGTCTGTGGAAAAATTCCATTATTTTTCCATTCCATTTTTCCACAAGCTTTTTGAAGGTCCAACATACACACACACACTGATTTCTGCACCTAGATTTTTCTTAAACTTTTTATTGGGGCTTGAATGAGGGTTTACAGAACAGATTATCAGTTTTACATTCAACAAATCATATGCTTTGTTTCATCTCAATTATAATCCCCTCCATAGAATGTTCTAATGGCCCATTGAACTGGTTGCTTCAAATTTTCACCACTCTACTTTCTTTCCACCAGCTGCTCCTCAGAAATTCTATACAAGGTCGTTATGAGTCAGCAAGGTCGTTATGAGTCAGCACTTTACGTTACACACATTTTCTTCCACAAATGGAAAGACCAATAATTCCAGCTTAGAAGACGACCCATGAGCTTTTAAGATTCCAGTTGCTACTCACCAAAGGAGGATGTAGAACATTGTCCATGTGGACTATGTTATGCCAATTGGCTATGGGTGTACCTGAATTTTTAAGAGGTTCCTATTTGCTATGCAGAAGCAATTTAAGGAGAAAAGTCAATACAACCAGGGATAGGATAATATAAAATAACAAGAGCTAAGAAGCAAAGAAATAATTTTAAAGGAATTTAGACTTGAATCCTTATTTTTTAAGATAAAGAACATAGGTCCCAAGAGGTAGCTTAAGTTCATCTATTTAGTAAATATTAACCTATATCTAAGTCCAGCTCTATTGTCTGTAACTCTTCTAATTCATCATCTGGATCTGAACAGATCATAGAAGAATAAAAGAAACAATAATGAAACATCATTGAATCTCTGTAAGCCTGGTTATCTAAAATAGAATTCTATATTAGCCAAAAGTAAAAAATTTTAAGAACAGAATATTTTTAAATGAATGCATCTTTAGTTGAGGACTCTAGACTCATGGAAAGAGAAAGGCTGTATGCTGGCAGCCAGAAGGCAGGCTTGTTTAAATGATGATATATTCCTGAGTATTTCTGTGTATATCACAAAACAAACAAACAAACAAACAAAAAAACCAGAGGGCATAGAAGCAAATACTGTTGAATGATGATATATGGAGGGGACTGTAATCATTGCAATGAAAAGAAATATATTAGGATAAGTGTGAAGCCTATGTTCTCCCTTGTAAACTATCAGTCAACCCACAATAAAAACTTTAAATGTATCTTTATCTTTCCTGTGAGAATCATGGGTCATCATTTTTTTTATTACACCCTCATATTTCCTTGTTTGTTTTATGTAACACAATAATCTACATGAGCTGTCTAGGGACTATGGAAAAAGCAATGGAGTGGCAGTTAGGAGATCTAGGTTCCACTGACACTCTGTCACTCCATTGATAATCATGTACTTTCTCTCAGAGCTCACCTGTGGATAAAAACTGTAATTTCCCTTTCAGGTGTAACACTAATTGACTATAGGATGCTATGTTCCAAAAAATGAGGAAGAGGAAAATAATATTTAGGAACTATCATACAGATTAAAAGTAGCCCTGGTGGTAGAGTGGGCTACATCTATGAGTGGGGCTGCTAATAACAAAGACAACAGTTCAAACCCACCAGCCACTTCGTGGTGAGACTTAGCACCTCCCATACAGATTTATAGTCTCAGAAACTCTAGTGAGCAGTTCTACTGTGTCTTACAGGGTCACTGAATCAAAACTGACTCAATGGCAGTGGGCTTATATGGATAAAATGTCTATTATCATAAATAAAATGGAGGGTTTCTTATAAGAAAATACATCCAAAGACTATAAAAAAAAACAACCCAAAGGAGTAATAATTTAGGCTTTTTTCCCTCCACATATTATTTTAAATGAATAGTTTTTCCCTAAATTTTTATTCTCTTCTTTCCAAACTGCTCGTCTTCTATCCTGCTTCACAAAATCATGGGTGGGGACTGGAGAAACCAAAACAAAGGCCACCATTCTGACGGGGGCCAAGTCAAAAACCAGTGAGTCAAACTTAGTTCCTCCTTTCCCCCTCTTTCTCATATCCAATCTGTGCTCAAGTGTTATTAACCTCAGAGACAGCCCTTAAACTCATCAATTGTTTTCTTTAACCATGAACACCACCCTAATCAAGGCTACCTACCATTATCTCTTAACTAGATTATTGCCAAAGTTTCCTCACAAGTCCTCACATGTAAAATCATGTCTCTCATAAATCTGTCCTACACATTGTAATAACAGTGATCTCTATAAAATATCAAATTGGTTAGGCCACAACCTTTCTTAAAACTTTTCAAGACATCCACATATCCCTCTGTAGTCTCTTCTTTCGCTATACTCCAATGTTGCATTTTGTTGTTACTGGAGGTGGTAGGTGGTTTATTTTAAACCCACTTCATTAACAAGCAATTTTTTCTCTAGCGTCTATGTTTTCAAATACATTATTCCCTTTTCCTAAATTCTCTTCTCCACCTTCTCAGGTCCTAACACTTTTGCCAGCCAGAAAGCTTTACACTCAGTTTTCACTGGGATATCACTTCTTTCAGAAACTTTCCTAATTCTTTAATATGAGTAAGGTGATACTCTTATTTGTGTTACTATGGCATATGGCAATACCTTCATTAAAAACACTATTGCTTACATGAGCTAAATAGGACAGAGGTAAATAATGATGTAAGCACAACCGTGGAACAACAGGCTCAGGGATACAAAGATTGAGGCATGGTTTGAATGTGTAAAAGTGGGGAAATGATGTTAAGATGCTTCACTGTCTTTTGAATCTTGGTTTCCCTTACCTCCTATTGTAAAATAGACACTTGAAGGGGAGAAAAAGAAATAGCCAGAAACATCATCATAGAAAGCTTGTAAGTCTGCCTTCAGCCTATAACTGATTGGAATACCTAAAATGGGGCTAAAACTTGCCCAGTGAAGGAGGCTCCCTGCAGAGCCTATGCATTGCCCAAGACCATAAGTGGAATCCTGATCCCCATCCAGAATCTTCTGAGGTGGGAAATTTCCACTTGGGAGGACAAACAGACCAGCCTGGAGCAGCTAGAAGAACATAAGATACTTCTTGAAAGAAAGACCAGAAGGAAAAAATTAAAAAACAATAACAGCAGTCCAATTGACTACTACAAGAATAAATAAGTTGTTCCCAGAGAGCCATCAAGGCAAGTGGTCAGGTCCCCTCAAAGCAAATGCCCTTCCAAGACTGAAACTCAAGTGGAATACATAAGCAGGCATGTGGTCTTGCTACTGACCACGTTGGTCACCAATAAGGGGAAGTGAGGGAAAAATAGCAATGAAGTTGTGAGCTAAGTCTGACAACATTCAATAGACTCCTGTTAACCTGGATTGAGCCCTGGTTAACCAGCGGTATGACGAGAGCTGGGGCCTCCTGGACCCAGGAGGACTAGAGCGAGCAGAAGCATCCAGCTGATATGAAGTG